GCTTACTGATATCTATTATTTTAATATTATGATTATTATCCTTGTGTCTTATGCCTATCTTATACATGTTAAACTTACATCATTGTGCTATACACAGTCCTGACTAAATAAAGTACAGCATATTTTATTGATTATTAAATGCTCTCCACCCAGAACTTTGAGTAAACCCTTCAACACTCTACAAAAGCTTCCTACCACTTTGCACTAATCCCTATACTTCTTTCCACAACTTAATATATAATAGGTGAAAGCCCCAGCCAAGTAGCCAAACATTCTAATAGTCCAGGCTCCAAGATTAAATCTAAAGAAAAAAATCCACTAGACTATCCAAATAGAAGGCTGGGGAACCCCTCTTGGAGGAACAGGAATGCTTCTCTTCTGCACCTAACAGTATCCGATGAGCACCTGGGAGGCCAGGGATTGAGTTCACAGAAGACACACAGAGCACAACTAAAAGAACAGATCACACAAATATATCCAGCCCTACAATTAATATCACACAACAAGTTCTTACAATTCAATTTAGGACAAGGTTTCTCAACCTTGGTACTACTGACATTAGGGGACATGACATTCTTGGTTATAGAATATTGTTCTGTGCACTGCAGGATGTCCGGCAGCATTCCTGGCCTCTACCCACTAAAAGCCAACAGCAGCTGTCCCCGAAGCTGTGACAAAAAGGTCTTCAGGTCTCCAGACGATGCCAAACTCCAAACTGCCCTCTCCAACTCCCGCTGAAAACCATTACTCTAGGGGTTGGATAGCATCCAACATTTTTGCTAGAGGTTATAAACCACTCATGCCTTTTCTTAAAAATACAAAGACTTTTTTTCTTTTTTGAGCTGAGTTTGAAACAGCATACATAAACATACTTCCAAAAGTCTCAAGTTTAAAAAACAAGTAACCATTTCAACTGGGGGACATTCTACAAGGTATACGACCAGTACCCCTCAAGATTGTCATGGTCATCAAAAAAGAAAAGTCTAAGAAACTGGTAGAGCCTAAAGGAGCCTATGGAGATATGACAACTAACTGTGTTCTGTGCTGTCCTGAGTGGCATCCTGGAACAGAAAAAGGACATTAGGTAAAAACTAAGGAAATTTGAGTACACTATGGACAACGAACGTATCAATATTGACTCAAAAATTGTGACAAACATACCACAGTAATGAGAGAGGTAAACAACAGGGGAGGGGTGTCAGTTTTATAGAAACTATATGATTTCCCAGTAAATAAAACTGATCTAAAAAAATTATTTTTAAATATTTTAAGTAAAATGGAAAAGAAAAAAAAGGATGGGAGAGAAAGGGTAAAACAAAGAATAAAAAAAATCCGTTCCCTGTACAGATTTCACTCTGGGAGCCCTTAGAAAGGGAAGATGCCGGAACAGAGTCTTTGGATTAAGGAAAGAGATCAAATGGCTAGAAAGAAAGAGAAAATAAAATTCTTTTGTCCTCTTCCAACTTGGAGAGGAAAAAGGATCTATATTTTTATATGAGTATCAGTATTTCTTCCAATCTCTCCTTCCAACGAGACACAGCTCAGGGGTCAGCCTTGGCAAAGCATTTGCTGCATCTCTGCGCAGTTATGTGCTCTGGTGGGAGAGCCCCTGGGGCCCACTGTTTATCCCCCGCCAGGTGGACTGTCACTTATCTCTTTGCCAGACTCCTCATCCATGCAACGATGGTCTACTGCTTGGCACAGGCAGGTCCTCTGCCGCTGTGGGCCCCTCCCTGTTGTACTCATTCATCTGTGAATCAACAGCCTCCAAACCCACAGCGGGGTGCTTAATAAGTGCTTGTTGAATGAACACAAGTTGGGCACTTACATTCATACAGACTTCAGCTAGAGGGGCTAGGAATGGTGCAGCCACAGAATGGGCAAAGAAGGAAAAGTCTGATTAAAGTCCTCACATTTCGGGGTGACAGGGACCACGTGCATGTGTGCTGGGGGCATGGGGAGGAGATAGGGTGCACTGAAGCCTGTACCTGTGACAGTTGAATACTTACTTACAACACTTAAAAAGACTTAGCCATTATTTAGTGCAGTGGCCTCCTTTTACACAGAGAGAAACCAAAACCAAAAGGGATTAGGTGACTTGTTCAAGGCCACACAGCTAATTATGGCACTGCCCTAAGCAAGAGGAGATGCAGATCCAAGAGCTAAATAACCCACATCCATCTTTTACTAAGTATGTGTCTAAGAGTGACAGCTATTTAATAACTATTAATAACAGCTACTATCTACTGAACATCTGCTGGGTGCCAATCCCGTGCTAAAAATCCCCATGTCATGCCCATATTGTGACTGAGGAAACTAAGGTCAGAGAGGAAAGAAACACAGTAATGGCCCCCCAGACTGTCCCACACCAAAACCCAAACTCTGGTCCAGTGCTGATCTTTATCACCCAACACTTCAGCCACCTCACGCACCGGTCACTGTTCTAAACACCTTTCATGAATGGACTCACCTATTCCTCACCAGAACCCTATGATGCTGGCACTACCAGCATGCCCATTTTACAGATGAAGAAACTCAAGCTTCATGACCTTCCCAGTTCTCACAGGCAATAAGTGGCAAATCTTGACCATGAAATTGGAAGGGCAAAAATTTTGCCTGCAGTATCTTTTTTTTTTTTTTTGAGACAGAGTCTCACTTTGTTGCCCAGGCTAGAGTGAGTGCCGTGGCGTCAGCCTAGCTCACAGCAACCTCAAACTCCTGGGCTCGAGTGATCCTTCTGCCTCAGCCTCCCGGGTAGCTGGGACTACAGGCATGCGCCACCATGCCCGGCTAATTTTTTATATATATATCAGTTGGCCAATTAATTTCTTTCTATTTATAGTAGAGACGGGGTCTCGCTCTTGCTCAGGCTGGTTTTGAACTCCTGACCTTGAGCAATCCGCCCGCCTCGGCCTCCCAAGAGCTAGGATTACAGGCGTGAGCCACAGCGCCCGGCCTGCCTGCAGTATCTTATAAAACTAAGCATGCAATTACCATTCAACCCAGCATCAGTACTCTTGGGCAATGAAAATACATGTTCGCACAAAAACCTGGACACAAATGTTTACAGCAGCTTTATTTGTAATCAGCAAAGACTGGGTGCAACCCAGATGTTCTTTGAAAGTGAACTATGGGTAAATGGTTCAATGTGGTTAAATAAATGGTTCAACTGTGGTGCATGCATACCATGGAATATTACTCAGCAAAAAGGAAGGAAAGCACTATGGATACAATATATGCACCAATTTGGATAAAATTCCAGGGAGTTATATTCAGTGAAAAAAGCCAATCCCAAAAGGTTACATACTGTATGATTGTATCTATATAACATTTTTTGAAATGACAAAATTTTAGAAATGGAGAACAGATAACACTCCAGGGATGGGGAAGCAGAGAGAGCATCAGGAGACAGGTGGGTGTGGTTATAAAGACAGTATGAGGCATCCCTGTGATGGACTGTTCGGTACTTTTGACTGTGATGGTGGACACACAAACCTACGTATGATAAAACTGTGCAGAACTACATGCATGCACACACAGGAGTACAATAAAACTAGGGGACTCTGATTGTTATCAATCTGCACTGGTTGTGATGCTCTAGTACTGTTTTGCGAAAGGTTAGCTTTGGAACGAACTGGGTAAAGGATATGTCAGATTTCCCTGCATTAGTTCTTACAACTGCATGTACATATACAATTATCTCAATAAAAATTTCAATTAAAAAATATCTTGCCTGCCCAAAATCTAGGCTAGATAACCTTCTACATTTCTTTCATCTCTCAAGATCTGCAATTCCCAGTGCCTCCAAAGCCAGTCTTCTCTCCACCATACCACACGACAGCTTCAAAAGCCAAAGAAATTAAACTCTTGGCAAAGAGAAACTAAGAAAATAAGCAGCTATTGCATAGAATTCTGCATTGCTGGCCATTTTAAGTTCCCTCTGAAAATTACTCCAATTTGGTTTTATTTCATGAAACTGACTTCTAGCCAAAAGATGAAAAATGTGATCAGACAAAATGTTTTCTCTCATCAAATATTCTCTCCCTATCTCTACGTGCCCCCTCCAACAACAACAAAAAAGAGAAATCAGTATTAGAATGCTGATCCTGAATCTTCCCTGGAAGCAGGCAGCGGCGCCAGTGGATTGGCGCCAGAGGATTGCCAGCTCCCGCACGGCCAGCTGCCGCTGGAAGGCAGCGTGACACAGGACACAGGGCGGCAGGTGAGGGGCTGCCCCAGACCTAGGTCAAGGCGTGACTCGAGTCTTGCCTTTCGCATCTACAGGACCGGGATGTGCAGCTCCTTCGCCGGCCACTTACTGGAAGAATGCTGGCAGACAATCTATCTGTGTGCCTGGCACCAGTATTTACCAGTTCCTCTTTCCGGCTCTCCGTTTCCCCTGGTAACAAAGGAACTAAGCTCGTTTTACGTCCACCTGGCCACAAGGTACCGGTTCACCGCCCCTGAGTCCCCTCCTCACTGAGGATAGCAGATAACGCAGAACACCCCCCACCTGGACCTCTCCGGTTTCAAGCCCGGCACACCCCAGCCCGCCCCACGGAAACCAGATCAGCCTCCGGACACGGCCACCTGCCCGGCAGCCCCGCTCCAGGGTGACCCGCACCGGGACTCGCTGGAGGTTGATGACAATACCTGACGCTGCGGGGGGAGACCGCCTCCCGACGGAAGTCTGCGGAACCCCCGGGGCAGCCCGAGGCGCTTTCGACGCAGATTCCGGGCTAAAAATCTCAAGAACGTATAAAACAGCTCTCCCGACAGGAAAGACGAGAGTTGTGAAGTTTCGGAGTCGCTCCGCAGAGGCGATGCCGCCTGCGGCTGGGGGTGGGGACCCAGGGTCGCTGGGGCGCCTGGGAGGGCAGCGGCGGGGCTGCCCGGGTCCGAGGGCGCCCGCTCCCCGCGGAGCGCGCGGGGCGAGACCGGCCGCCGCCGCCGGGCGCGGAGGGGTCCCCAGTGCCGGGGGTGGGGCGCCCCGCACTCACCTTCCGTGCTTCTCTTCGCCTCCCGGTAGCGCTCCCACAGGTAGCGCTTCATGTCCGGAGCGGTCCCGGGTGCTGTGCACAAGCGCCGAGCTGGGCCGGCGCACGGCCGCCCGGGTGCCGCGGTCCTGCCGCCCCGCAGGGCCAACGCCGCCGCCCTCGCCCCGGCCCCGCGGGCCACCCCCGCCGCTGCCGCCGTGGCCATGCCTGCCGCCAGCGCGCTGCGAGTGGCGCCGCGGTGCCAGTCCCCTGCCCGCGCTCCGCTCCGCAGGCGGGCGGCTCCCTGCGTCGGAACACGTGGCGCCGTGGCCCGGCCCGCCGGCCGCTGCGGGGCGGGGCCGGGGGCGGAGCGGGGACCGGGGCGGGGCAGGGCCGAGTAGGGGAGGAGTCCGGGGCGGGGCTGCCGCCGGGGCCCAGGCCACCGTGGTCTGGCGCCCAGCCTGCTGAGGTCACTTTCTGACCCTGATGCGCGCGGGAGCGACCGCGTGGGGGTGCGTAGGCCACATGGAATGGAACGACAAGACGCGACGCCGGCGCCACCCGCTGAGCTCCGCCGCACCTTCCCCCTGCCTTCTGTGGCAGTCCCCAAACGCCGGCTGCACGGGCAGTGGCCCCTTGAGCTGCTTTGGCCCGGCTCTGGAAGGTGACCTCTTCTCATCAATGGCCTCTGCAGTCTGGACTTCCCCTGGATCGCGGGGATGGGTCTGGGACATCCCCCAATCCCCAGCTTGGATCCACCCAGACCTGCCCGTGAGGGGATGGCCAGGCCAAAGCCCCCACGTGTGGACTGATGGTGACTGGAGGACCCCAGCCTCTTAACTCCAATAAGTTTGAAGGGCACCCGCATTGCACAGCCTGGAAGACTCAGTACCTCACCCTAGATTTCCATCCCCCAAGAGAGGTCCTCGGGACGCGGTCACCCAGCTCCTGTCCCTGCCCAAGCTCCTGGCAGGGTTTACAGGTCTCTCGGACCTGCTAGGCTGCATCTGTTCCGTGCCATGCGGTTCCAATGAAGCCAGATGAACCGTAACCTCCCCACCAGGAAGCGTTTCTGTGTGGACTCAGACACGGCTCCTGCAGGAAAGACTGATGTGGCCCGCCCAGAACCCTGCTGAGAATCACTGGACTGCAAGGACTTCCCAAGCTGCCCTGTGGTCACTGCTGAGCAGGGTGCTAAGTGGAATAGGGAGACTAACTCTCAAGGCTGGCACTCTTCGGAGGAGACCATACTGCCATGCATGAATAAGTGGGGCACGACTTAAGACAAATAACCCAAAGCATCAGTGTATGTGTATGTTCAAGTTGTGGCCTGGAGGGGCCGGGAGGTGTTTCATGGGAAAGGTGACATCTGGGTTAGACTACCATTTATTGAAGGCTTCTGTGTGCATTATCTTATGCAGTCTTTCAGTAATCCTAAAAACCAGATGCCATAATTTCTCCCATTTTACAAATACAGGACTCTCTTGGTATCTGCCAGGGATTGGTTCCAGAACAACCCCCACACACACATACCAAAATCCACGGATGCTCAAGTCCCTCATATAAAACAGCATAGCGTTTGCATATAACCTACTCACATCCTCCTGTATGCTTTAAATCATCTCTAGGTTACTTATAATACCTAATACAAAGTAAATGTTATGTAAATAATTGTTATACTGTATTTTCTATTTGTATTACTTTTTATTCTTATGTTGGGTTTTTTCCTAGAATTTTCAGTCCACAGTTGGTTGAATCCAGTGGGGCAGAACCTGTGGATGCAGAGGGCTGACTGTAATAGCACTGAGGCTCAGAGAGGTGAAATAACTTTCCTAAAGTCACACAGCTGAGACCATTCTTCCATTTGGCTTCCTAACATAGTATGTAAGATTTAGTTGGGTGATAGGGAAGAAGGTAGCCAATAAGTAATCCTTAACAGTTAATGGTCAATGTTTTACAGATCACTGATAAAATGAGATAATAAAATGCTTAAAACAGATGATATCAAATGCACGGGCTCAGGTACTTTAAATTTACTTTATGGTTTAAATTTACTCTAATTTATACCTTATTCATGTTTCAAAAAAGGTTCGGTGGTAATAGTTGTAAATTTTGCTTACTTGTTAAATGAACTCATAAATTCAAAATAAACTATAGCCATGTAAAAATAACACAATTAGAACTTTAATAACATTATTTCTAGATATTTTTCAATATGAAACACTGTGAGATCAATGATACCTAGCATAGAAATGTGAATCATTTAAAAATTATTCTTTTTTTTTTTTTTTTGAGACAGAGTCTCACTTTGTTGCCCAGGCTAGAGTGAGTGCCGTGGCATCAGCCTAGCTCACAGCAACCTCAAACTCCTGGGCTCAAGCAATCCTACTGCCTCAGCCTCCCGAGTAGCTGGGACTACAGGCATGTGCCACGATGCCCGGCTAATTTTTTTTTATATATATATATATCAGTTGGCCAATTAATTTCTTTGTATTTATAGTAGAGACGGGGTCTCACTCTTGCTCAGGCTGGTTTCGAACTCCTGACCTCGAGCAATCCGCCCGCCTCGGCCTCCCAGAGAGCTAGGATTACAGGCGTGAGCCACCACGCCCGGCTAAAAATTATTCTTTTTTAGCTAAAATCAGTTATAATATTTTAAGAAGCTGAAAACTCAAATCTCCAGATTTTAATTATCATTCCTAAGTGGTTTAGAAGAAATATCCACTCAAAGAGTTCTAATTAAAGACAAGTGGAAAAAACTTAACAGACACCAAAGAGCCCACTATAATTTTTATTCCTTATCAGTATCATTTGAGGTTTTCAACAATTTTGTTTTGATTTCAGATCTTCTCTGCAAAAAAAAAAAAGAAAATACTTCTAAGTTGAACTATAACCTGGGCTATGAAAAAGCCACTTTTCTGATATGAACTCAGATATGGATTCCCAAGGTTTACTGGTGCTAAGTGGCGACAACAGGGGATGGCAGTAAACAGTGGTGATTTGGCCTTCTCTACTCTCGCTTTTAGCTGACAAACTCCTTTGCCTTGAAAGATTTACTAAACCATTTGTTTTACCCAAAGATAAAATCTTAGAGGAATAGTCCTTCTTTTTCTTTGCTGCTTCTTTTCCTGGGCTATTCCATATTTTAGCATTATTTGGTGTCTTCTTTTGGGCCTTTTCCTCAGCAGAAATGGAAAGAACAGGTTTCAAGCTCTTTTTCCCTTTTGCACATTTTGACTTATCCGGAATTGTGTGAAGTGCCAAGTCTGTGCTTTTAGCTCTTTGTAACTTATTTGGGCTCATGCGCATTGCAGAGCTCACTGTTGTAGAACTCTGAGCACTGTGGTAGTTTACTTTAAGTAAATGCTCCCATAATGATGAGCCCTCAGTACATTGTTGGCTCTTACCTTGAGGCCAACATCTCTTGCTCCGAATCTGCTTGATTTCCCCCAGAAGGCTACAAAAGATCAAAAGTTATCAAGAGGTCATAAATATATATATATATATATCATGAAGAACCAGAAGTATTTTTCTTTGGGAGTCATAAAACTAACTCACTGTAGGATTCCATGGATTGATGAATGAGAAGATCCCAAGTAGGTTGTCCTTAAATCAAGTGATCTATACAAATAGCCTACTGCCTCCATCATGAAGTGGTGACAGGAGTCATTTGTCAATAACTGGCCTGCTGGATATTTGAAAATAAGAATATTAGAATTTTTAAAAATTACTCCTGACTTCACACATTTAAAAAAAGAAAGACAAAAGGGTGGCATTGGAACATTACCTGTTGTAATATTCTACCAAGAACATTTAACCTGAGTCTAATCATAAAGAAACAACCAGACAGAAACAAATTGAAGGACACCAGGGCAAGGAAGGCAGGGCAGAAACTGACTTTGACTCTTCAACAGTGTCAATGTCATGAAAGACAAAACAAGGCAACTTAAATGTTCTAGACTAAAAGAAATGCAATGCAAGATCTTCAATAGGATTCTGTATTAAAAACTGAACAGCTACACAGGACAGTATGAGAATACTTGAGGAAATTTGAATTTGGATTCTGCATTAGATAATAGTCTAATGTAAAACCCTGGGTTTGATTATTGCATTGTGGTTACATAAAGGAACGTCCTTGTACTCAGAAGACGCATGAACTAGTACAGTATTTAGAGATAGGTGTCATGTTTGCAACTAACTTTCAAATGGCTCAGAAAAATGTGTATGTATGTGCCTTTGTGTGTAAGAGAGAAAGAGAACCCACATGTGGAAAAATGTTAACAATTGGTGAACATCAGTGAAGGTTATACAGTTGTTCATTATACTATTCTTGAAATTTCACTGTAGGTTTAAAAGGTTTCAAAATAAAAAACAGAGAAAAAAAAATTTGCCAAGTGCTATTGTCAATAATTTAATTCTCTAAAATTTGTTAAAAGTAAACATATAATACATTTTACAGTTAATTTGCAGATGGTACTCATTTATTCACTTTACCCATTTATAAGACTGCTTTTAAGGGGCTGAATTTATACCATTGATTATGACCCTATTGTAAGACTGGTGTGTGTGGGGCGTTGACCTGGATAGTGATGAAGAGACTACTGGCTGCATAAGGGCTAAAAACACTGACAGATGACCCAGTCAGTGTCCCTGCTTTAATAATAACAGCAGCAAATGTATGTGAGTAATCACCATCTGTCAAAACTGTGTAATCCTATACGGTATAAACTATCAACACTCGTCCTCTTTTCCATTTATTCTTTTCAATAGGACCATGCATCCACCTGATTCAAAAATGAAAATGTATCAAAATATAAAGTGAAAAGTGTCTTTCTCTTCTCTGTCCCCATCTGTGCATTCTTCTAAAATGGAACCACTGACGTTTGTTTCTAGTGTGTCCTTCCAGAGAATTTTTAGTGCATGCTCATTTTACTTGTCTTTTAAAGATGAGAATACTGAAAGAGGTCAAGTAAGTTGTTCTAGTTCATGGTAGAACAACCCTGCGACTGCCTCATCCCCAAGTCCGTGCTCTTGACTGCTGGACTAGGCCGCCTCCTCCCCATTCTGGATTGTCCTTCGGAGTATCAGCTGTGGCTTCCGCTTGCAGCGATGTTCCCTCTGCAGCATTGCTTCATGGGGCACCGCCTGTGTCTCATATTGCCTGCAGCTTTTCCTGGAAATCTGACAGGGAGTTTCAGTTGTTGTCTCTGCTTAGCAATCTGCAGCTACGTTTTTTTCTTTCTGAATTATTTTCACGATGTCTCTATGACGTTCCCAAGTGCCCCCATCTAGCTCAGCAGAAGGCACTTGTGAATCACCCTCTTCATGATAACCAAGTTGCATTGGCCTTAACTGGCCTTAAAAAAGAAAAATGGAGAAAAATAGAATGTGTCGTGTGGTAGCAAAGACAGAACCCATTCTCAGAGATTCTCTGGCCCGCCAATAACCAGATTCACAGGTGTCTGCAAAGCCCTTTAAGAACTTCTGATGCTGCGGGATAGAGATTTTTCACAGTGGTCAGTTTCCAGTGCCGTTTGCACACAGTACTTCATGCCCTCCGTCCCCAGGATCCCTTTCGGCTGCACACCTCAACTCCTCAGGCCCCTTTCCCCTGGCAGCCCACTCTGGACCTAATCTATAGCCTTGACCTCAGAACTTTCTTGGACGCAATCAGACTCCTTCGTTCTGGCAACAAGCGGATGCCAGAAAAAGGCATCCTCGCCTCGGTCCCACCCCCAATCTGCCTGACCTTTCCTCGGCTGGTAGCAGCTGGGCCAGCCTGCTCAGTCCTCCCAACTTAAAGAAGAAGAAAGACCAGAATAGGTTAATTTAAATTGCAGAGAATTCACTGACCCACTTCCCACTTCAAACCTATGCTCTAGATGGAGAGGGAGCTTAATATTTAATTTTGCATTCTATTCATTGTTTTGTGTACAATATCTCATTAAAAGTTCAGAATACCCCCATAGGCAGACTTTATTATACCGTCTTGGTTGGTAAAAAAGAAATTGAGACTCAGAGAGGTTATGCCCACAAGCCCAGAAAAATAGCAGAACTGGGATTCCAACCCAGATCCCTGGGATGCAAGACCATAACTTCTAGAAGTAAGAAAAGAGAACCCTATTCTCCTTGTCACATTGGTTCTGTGGGAGATTTTCCATAAAAATACAGCTAGGAAAGAACCACCAGTTACAATTGCCATGTTGTACTTCTGGATGGAGCTACACCCTCCCTATTTCCAATGGAGTATAAATTGGGGGTGGGGATGGGGGAAAGGTCCCACCAACACTCTTGAAAACCTGTTCTCAGATTTTAAGTATTAGTTTTCCTAGTCTTCCTCCTTTATTTTCAGTGTTTAACATTAAAAAGAAAGTGGTATATTTATTACTTCCTCTGGAAACAGGAAGAAATTTTATCCAAAGACAGTCCTCTGTCCTCTTAAGTAATCTTCTAGAGCACAACTTTTCCTAATCTTTATTCTACTGAAATTGAATTTAAGTCCTATTTCTCTTGCTTCATATTATACTTGCTGTCACCTAAGAGGTGGGTTTGTGCAATGCCGTCCCGTGTGAGAGATGTTTACTTTCTCCTGGGCCCACAGCAGCAATTCAGGCAGTTGTCACCAGGTAACAGTGAAATCTCAAGTGTTGGCGGAGGTCCTCAGGAAGTTTCCCTGAAGGAGTCTGAGACTTAGTGGATGCTGCCCAAGAGTGAACTTCCCCTCTGTGCTGGGAGCAAATGGGATTAAGAAGCAAGAACAATCACAGCCCATTATTCTCTGACCAGAAGACAGCCTGCAAATTTGTAATGAAGAAGGAGAATTCAGCAGTATCTAAAGGCTCTTTGTTGAAAGTTTCTATTTGTTTGATAGCCAGGCTATGTCTAAAGTTTCCTTGTCAGAGTCTTCAATTCAGTTTGAAACATTTAAGTTCATTTGCTCATTCTTTCAATAAACTCTTGTGTCTATAAACAGAGTAAGGAGAAAGCTCTCTATCATTGGCCCCAAATAAAGTAAAAGGTTACAACTGGATGTCTCCATGGGATCTCAATTTCTGTCCTAAAGAAAACAATAAATGACTTAAGGGGGTCCTCCTCCACCCACCTCCACTGAGACCACGGCCTAGGCTGGCTCAGATACACCTGGTTGCAGATGGCAAGTAGCATCCTCTGTTGTGTTCTTCTCCCAGTACCTACAAATTCATATGCTAATTAAAAGGGCTGGGCCTCTGTAGACCCCCCACCTTTGGGTAGAGGAAACAGATTCATTGTTCTCTCTTAAACAGGCTTTTGTCCCTACCACCAAAATTGAAGGTTCCCTGTGAACTTTGTGTTGTTAAACATAATGGTCTGTTCTCAATCTGGTAGTCAGTTCTCAATACTCTCCTTTTTTGGCTTCCATGATTTTACTGATTCTCAGCCTTCCTCTGGGGACTTCTTCATCTTTTGCTACAAGCCTTTCCTCTGCCCACCTCTTAAATACCGACATTCTCCCAAGTTCTGTCTCTTGCCACCATCTTGTCTTATATTCTTCTTGGTTCTTTCAACCACTCTACTGGGTTGAGCCACAAAGCATATGCTAAGGATTCCCAAATGTTTTCTCTGGCTCAGTCTTCTAGCTCCTAACCCCCAGATTCATATATTCTACTGCCTACTGAATGTCTCCACTCGGATAGGAAATTCAGACTCAACATGACCAAAATTAGTTCACTGTGCCCCCTCCCAAAAAACTGTGCTTCCTATCCTGCCATGGCAACAGCATCATCCACCCAGTTGCACTGGCCTGTGGCATAGCCACAAACTAGGAGACGCTTTTGACTGTTCTCACTGCCTCACCTCCCACATCCAATCAAGCACTAGGCCCTGTTGGGTTTACCTACTAAATCTCAAGTTCAACTCTTTCTCTCCATTTCTACTATCCCTGTCTTAGTTTACCAATGCCATCCCCCATTTGGCTATAAAAGTATTGTATCTAAAACACAAATTGTATCTACTCATGTCCTTTGTGCTGGAAACCCTACAGAAGCTCCCCTGCCAAACCCTTGAGCATGGTAGAAAAGATTTTCTTTGCCCTAAACTTTACTCCAACATCATTCCCTAAGCCTCCCATTCCAGAGTCTCACACCAACCTGATTCCCCTTTCCTTGCTTTGTTCATGCTGATCATTCTCACTTAAATTGTTCTGCCTGAACTTCTTCACCAGGTATCTGTCAGTACTCATGGCCTAAGTCACTTTCTCTAGAAAGTCTTCCTTGTTGCCTCTGTCATGTGCTTCCCCATGCCCTATCCAATGTCTGCCACAGCACACAACATATTGCATTGCAGTTATCCTTTGTGTTGTTAAACATAATGGTCTGTTCTCAATCTGGTAGTCAGTTCTCAATACTCTCCTTTTTTGGCTTCCATGATTTTACTGATTCTCAGTCTACCTCTGCTTGTCTCTTCAAGACCACAAACTCCTAAAGCAATGAACAGTGGGAAGGCCTTGGGATTTGGGGTCAGAGGACAAGTTTCCAAGTCCTAAATCTATTACTTATTAGCTCCGAGGTTCTCGAATGTCACTTGGTCTTTGTGAGCCTCAATGCTTATAATATCTGATTCATAGGATTCTGTGATCAAATGTACTGGGGCAAGTCACATGACATATCTGCTATTTCCTCAGCCTTCGAATTAGCTCAGCAATCTCTAGAGTCCCTTCCAGGTTTAAAAGTTTTCTAAGCTTATGAGGTCTACTTGCCATTTTCCTACAATCAATATCATTCACAAATTTATAACCCATTAAAAATGACTAAACCTATACAACAAATAAAAAGTATTCTCTGCTAGCACGTATAAACTGGCTTGCTGGATTGACCAGGGCCCTACACATCCTCTACAAAACATACTCCCTGACGCCCGGGGCACACTAAATGCCTGCAGCTAGAAGGTCATCTCTACTCCACTGGCATACTTCTGTCCCCAACAGCTCAGTTCTAGCATGACCCAGAGTCAATTAGATTTGTCAGTCTACTTAGGTAATTAAGTATTATACAAACTAATAACATACGACTGTGAAATGAAAAGGAGCTGCTTTCTATGAAAACCAGATTAAATGTTTTGGAAAGACTCAATACCATGAGCTGCTAAAAAAATAAATAAATAAATTCAAATGATGAGTGGACAAGACAACTGCAAAAGGTTGAAGGGGGGGAAAGGTACCAATTTAGAAGGACCCTGGATACAGACTGCATCACAATTGTTCTAGAAGCCAAAACTAGAAATGGTGGATGATGCATTTTGAGAAAGATGATATCCAATTCCAATCAGAAGACTCATTAATAAGAGAAAAAGAGAGACCTTAATTCTACATTAAAAAGATTGTGAACAGAATGAACATTTATGTTTAAGTTAAAATTAAAATGTAAGGTGTATCTGTACCACTTACCTGATTTTTGGATTAAGGAACCAACCCTTAGAGAAGAGGGTTCTACCTGAGCTGAGCATTTTTAAACTAAGAGAAGAGAAGGGACTGATTGCCCCTTCTAAGGGTCACCCATTAGAGCCTTTGCTTAATTTCTTCTTCTAAATTTGACTAAGATGATTGGCATTTCTTTTTCAAAAGAATCCCAGGGCGAGAGAAGTAACATAATGTTCATCTACCACGCTTCATCCAAAACAATTCAGTACAGAACACTCAGCTTGATATAATGGAGTCTGAGAAGCCATGTTTCTATTATTTTCTCCCACAGAAATGGTTTCACAATAGGCAAATGTAAAACACTTGTCAAAGAAAAGCAATAAGATGGCTCTGTGTCAGAGGTAGCTCGGTACATAACTCACAAAATCCCTCATTTCATAGTCAGAGTTCCTGCTAAAATCTCTGGAATTGACATTTTTTTAGGTTAAGGTCTGTACTTGAAATTGATCAAAGTTGAAGGGAGATGAACTATAAAGGATATACTAAATTAAAAGAGATTTCATTTATGAATAAGTGCCTCACAAAACTGATCAGAAAAAGAAACAAAATTTTTGGATTTGTCACCTCACAAATTTGTCATTTGAATATATGATTATGATAGTCTTATGCATAAAGATGTGATTATAATTAATATATGAATTATCAAAAATTGCTGAAGTCCACTATTTTCATATACCTTGAAAGATTTATACTGTATTCTACATGTTGATAAGTATAATAATAAAAGATTAGGGAAGGTACCAAGACATTCAAGCTAGCCATCATGACTGTTAATCTGTAACCTAAAATAAGATCTGAAAAGTCAAATAAAGATTATTGTTTTCACCAGGTAAAATTACAATTGGATTGTTTTTGTCAGTATTGTTAGTCTGGAGCAGAGCCTTCATTTCTATTGAATAACCCAAGGTACATCTTGTATGTACTCAGAAAGAACCAGTTTATCCGCTTCACAGCCTTCCTGTAGTGACAGAGCACTTGTGTACAGCTAGTGTTGTTTCTAATGCTTTGAAGATACAAAGAATAAATGATAAGGCCCCTGCCCTAGGAGTTAAGTCTGTTTGAGAGGTCAAAATATGCACCTTGGAAAGGAATAGAAAATGAGTATCATAAAAGTGTGTCCTTTGTGCTCCTTTATGACTCTGGATTCACAATATTATTTTAGAATATGATATTAGAAATCTCTTGTGAAGACTATGCTAGAAGAATGACTCTAGGGTCCTGACACTTACCTACTTTGTAAAAACCTACCTACTTTGTAAAAACCTTACACTGGCTTTCAGCTGCTCATATGGTAACATCCCAAATCCTTGACTGGGCCTGGGAGGCCCGTGACCCAGCCCCCCACCCTCTAACGTCCTCCTCGTGCACAGCCCCCCCAACTTTGCTCTCTGCACTCCAGCCATGAAAATTCTGTTTCCGATGCCTGAACGACTCTTCTCCTTCTTCTCCCCCTACTTTACTTAGTGAGCAACTTCTCATCCTGCAGATTCAATTTCCACATCACTTCCTGAGATGCACCCAACCCATCCCCTCCATCTGACAGCTCAAAGTCCCCTGTTACTACTTGTATTTTCCCAGGATAGCACTTTCCCCAATTATAGTCAAGCCATTGTGTGTTTAGAATAAATGACAAGGCCCTGCCCCCTGGGAGTTGAGTCTGTTTGAGAGGTCAAAATATGGACCTTGAAAAGGAATAAAAAATGAGTGTCATAAATCTCTATAGTAACATTTTCCACACTCACAGTTAAACAAGTGTGTATTTAGTTGTCTGACAGCCTTCTCCCCCGGTGTGGGCTCAGTGAAGGCAGTGTTGGTCTCTATTCGTCCTGTTTACTGCTATACCCCAGAAACTAATTAGAGATTGTCACCTAGTAGGTACAGTAAATATTTATTAAATGAATTAATGAATGAGCAATTGAATTAATTGTGAGAATGCAAGTAATTAACATTCAAATGCCCTTAGTAATCAATGCTTGCTTTTCTAAAGCAGGAGAGTAAATCTGAATTGGCTAAGACATTTCCTTCATCACACATGCATTCACTCAGCAAATGTTTATTGAACACCTACTAGGTGCTGGCCACTATTCTAAGAGTAGGGTGTACACGGTGGAGAAGACAGACCAAGTCTTTTCTTTTTAGCAAGGGAGACAGACCCCCCAAAAAAGCATAGTGAACAAATAAATATATAATTTTAGACACTACAGCACAGGATGAATATCCCTTATCCAAAACACTTGAGACCAGAAGTGTTTTGGATTTCAGATTTTTTCAGATTTTGGAATATTTGCATTATGCTTACTGGTTGAGCATCCCTAATCCCAAAAGCCAAAAGCCAAAATGCTCCAATGAGTATTTCCTTTGAGCATCACATTGATGATAAAAATGTTTTGGATTTTGGGATTAGGGATACTCAACATGTACTATGTTTAGTACTTTAGGTGGTAATGAGGTGGGGGGTAAATTACATGAGGTGGAAAAGGAATTCTTCACTGTGTACCTATAGACAGCCTTGATGCAATCAATCATTCTGAAGAATTCCAAAACAATCTCCTAGATAGAATGAGCCCTTTAGAGGATCACTGGCCCCCAAGACTTCTTCAGTCTTAAATCTCCACTTCCCTGCAGCATAGGACTGCCTTCAAGTCAGTGCACTGGCTCAACTCTCCCACCACTGCCTGCTTTCCTTCTTCTTCATCCCCTCCTGCACCCCTTCCTTTTCTTCACCCCCTTTACCACCTCCCACCGCCCCCTCTTTCTGGACACTTTGTTTCTTTTTTTGTTTTTGAAGCAGAGTCTCCCTCTATTGCCTGGGGTAGAGTGCAGTGGCATCAGCCTCGCTCACAGCAACCTCAAACTCTTGGGCTCAGGCAATCCTCCTGCCCCAACCTCCCAAGTAGCTGGGACTACAGGCATGCACCACCACACCCGGCTAATTTTTTCTATTTGTAGTAGAGACGAGGTCTCACTCTTGCTCAGAGCTTGTCTCAACATCCTGAACTCAAGTGATCCTCCCACCTCAGCCTCCCAGAGTGCTAGGATTACAGGCGTGAGCCACCACGCCTGGCCTCTGGGTACTTTGTCATGACCCCTCCTGAAAGCTTTCAATTGGTCCCCTCCACATCTTGTTTGTTCCTACCTTTGTGCATGCAGTCTCCCCACCTAGAAGTGCCCCCTTCCTCAAATAACTTACATCCTCTTCTTCCGTGAGGGTTCCTCCCAAGAGATTTTCCTCGAAAAACCTCTTGCTACAGATCACTATCTTCCTTTATATTTAAGCGCAGAATATTAACTCTCTTGAAGATCTTTAGGAACTCAACACCTATTTTACAGGTGGGGCCCAGGGACAGACCTGGGCCAGAGAGGCTGTGACTTGCTGAAGGCCACATGGCTGATTATGGCCAACCTAAAACCAAAATCTAGTTCAGTCCCCTCCAGCCAGGCTATATTTTACTCCTTTAATGTGTTATATTTTTTTTATTCTAGGTTTTGCTATGTGTCCCAACAAAACGGTAAGTTGCTTAAAGGCAGAAGCTATCTTCTTTTGTTTTTGAATCCTGCAAAGCATTTAGTATAGTCCTTTGAGCACAGGGAACCTAGTGTCTATCTATTTGTCTGTCTGTCTGTTACTGTATTCAGAAAAGACCAAAACAGATTTTCACCAATTTAGAAAATATGTTTGGGATGATATTAACTTAAATATAAGCCATATGGCATTCATAAAAGCCACATGGAGAGTCCTAGGGGACCATTTCAAAGTGACAGGCAGTCTCCCTGCAGAGCTCCCCAAGATCCTTCCAGGAAGGGAGACAAGCTATGGACAAAGGAAACAAACAGTAGTTTCATACAGAGGCCCCCAAGCCAAAGTCACCAAAGCAGATGCAAGCAATGATTTGCAATGGAGCTATTATTCACGTGGGCAGCTTCATGCTGTGTGCACCAAGAGGGGGAGGCATGTTGTTTTTCTTTACCCGGTGAATGATTCTCCCAAACCTTCCCAGATCCATAAACTAATCGGGTAAGATAAAATACCTTACAACTCTGACGTGCCTTACAATGTATAAAGCACTTAAACCAAAGGCTTACTGAATAAATACAATGTAACCATCTGTATACCATAGTTCTCTTTTTTTCCTCTCCTCAATGAAAGAATACAAATCTGCGACTTGGAAGAGAACTGCTTTAACAACATTCAATAACACTTTTACTACAGAGGGCCCAAGACTTCTTTAAAAATGATTAATGTTAAGGAGTCCCAACTATATGGGGCTCTGGTTTATTTCTTATTTTATGGAGTCCACTCAGGCACATTTCCATTTAGATAGAAAATTTCCATTAAAGGTAGAAAAACTAAAAATACTTCTTATATTAATATGTTAAAGGACAACTGATTCAGAGGTCTCTATAAACACTCTACTTTCCCTCCCAACACTCTTGTCTTTGTGAAGTGATAATATTGGTCTGCTCTCACTGTCACCAATTGAAACAAAAGCACACGATTCTCGCTATAACAGCTGAATTAACCATCTGCAATGTCCCTGTAAGCCAGAAGTGGGCCTTATGTTAAATGAATCAACTTTGATCAACAGCAGGAGATAGTGGTGGCAAGAAATGGTGTCAGGAAATGACTCCTTAACTACACTGAAAATTGACTGCACAATTGAAAAATATTTTAAAGGCCTGTTTAAGAAGTCACAAAAACACTGCAATGGCTACCATTACAGATTCCTTCTCATCTGAAAGTAAACAAATATACTGTACTTCCATCACAGACCAGACACCAAATCTGTTACATAACAGAGTATTATAAGAAGCAACCAGATTAGATATACTAGTTCCTTTTCCATAAATTTTCTCTAGATCTGCATCTGCATTTTCTGTGTGTAAACAAAATGCTTCAGGCACTCAGCCTGGAAACACACAAAAAAAATGCACAAACATACACTCCTAAATCTATACACTTAAAATACTCTTTCAGGCCGGGCGCGGTGGCTCACGCCTGTAATCCTAGCTCTCTGGGAGGCCGAGGCGGGCGGATTGCTCGAGGTCAGGAGTTCGAAACCAGCCTGAGCAAGAGCGAGACCCCGTCTCTACTATAAATAGAAAGAAACTAATTGGCCAACTAATATATATAGAAAAATATTAGCTGGGCATGGTGGCACATGCCTGTAGTCCCAGCTACTTGGGAGGCTGAGGCAGCAGGATTGCTTGAGCCCAGGAGTTTGAGGTTACTGTGAGCTAGGCTGACGCCATGGCACTCACTGTAGCCTGGGCAACAAAGCGAGACTCTGTCTCAAAAAAAAATAAATAAATAAATAAAAATAAAATAAAATAAAATACTCTTTCACTACAGATATCAGGCATTTGAAGCCTTTTTCCTGCCTCAGCAAGTGACTAGGCTGAAAGCAATCATGTTTTATTGTAGAAGGGATGGCAAGGCAAGCACATGCCATAGAAAGTGGCTGGTTTAAGTCACGGTCTCTCAACCTCAGCACTACTGACATTTGGGGCTGGATCACTGTTTGTTGTGGCAGCTGTTCTGGGCATTGTAAAATGTTCAGCCACATCCTTGGCCACACCCCAGGAAATGATAGCAGTGTTCCCATCCCACCCCCCACCCCAGTCATGACAATCAAAAATTTCCCCAGACTTTGTCCTAGCGGGACAAAATCATCCCTACTTAAAAACCACTTATTTAGGTTGAAATACAGATTGCCTTGTGGCAATGAGATGTCAGGACCCCTGACAGTCTTTTAAAATTTTTCCAGTTGTGGCACTTACGGAAAATGAGAGTTCTTGCGTAGCCTACTAAAATCAGGAAAAGATAAGGTCCCTGGCAAACCCTGGAGAGTAGAGCCCTTCTCTCGGGAGGCCTCTGAGGTGTTCTTCAACAGTGACCCTGTAAAACTGCCTGTATGACATAAATAAATCTCACTTAACCAAGCCAGTACCAGTGAAGAAGTAACTCAATTAAACTGCAAGTAATAATATCAACATTTTGGTCAAAGAAACTCAAAAAAAAAAAAAAAAAAGAATTGGAACTCTTCCTATAAAGGGGAACAAAACAGTAATAATAGAAGCAGCAAGTATAGCAAGAGGAATAAATGAACAGAACCCCACTCCTACTAGTAAGACTGAAAGCCAAACTTTCAAATTTCATTTGAAGTTTTTAATTTTTTATCTTTAAGTAGACCTGGCCTTCTAACCTCTGGGCCAGGTCTGAGGAACTGAGACCTATATCATATTGCTAAAACCATGGGTGGGCCCCATGAAAAGCCATCTTGTTATTTCTGGTCACATGTTAACTTTAGCATCCCATCATGAACAGGTATGAAAAGGCTACACATGTCCAGTACAAACAAGTTCTTAAGGCAGAATTTGAAGAAAGGTGACAGAGGGATGTGGTTGGCATGGTGCTTAGCCTGTAAAAGAACGAGAAATGGGATAGAAAAGATTTCTAAAAGATATCTTCTCTAATATTGGAAGGCAACTAGGTAGCAAAAAATAGTTGAAAGTTAATGAAACAGGAGTTGCTTTCCTCAAAAATGGACAGGTTTTTAAAAATAAACAAAGTATGCAAGTGAAACAAAGGGAAAGTCCCCTGTTTAGAACTAGATCGGAGCAATTACCTAATTTACACAAGGTATCGCTGAGGCTGATGCTCAGCTGCTTCCTGATGAGCGAGGAGCTGGCCAGAGTGTCTGCATTTTCCTTTATTTTTATCACTTGTTTGTAATATTCAGTTGCTTGCTTCCTTCGGGATCTAGAAAAGAGAAATTTAATTCAAGTTTTGCATGGAAGAAGCATGGCTTTCATTCATTCACTCACTCAACAAACATTCACTGAATGTTGGTGCTAGGACTGGGAGTAAATATGCGTGAAACTAATCCTTGCCCTCAGGGAACTTCCTGAAGTAGGAGGGGAGATTGGAGGGTGAAGAGGGGTCCACCCAGGAAGGACCTTGAAGGTTTGGGCCTTTCATAACTGAAGAGTTTTCATTAAGAGAATAATGTAATCAAACATTTGAGACAAATCTGCCAGCATAGAAGCGTGCAGGACAAACTGAGGTAGATGAGGCTCTAGGCAGGGGACCAGTTAGCCCAGAGGAAGAACAAATGATGACAGTCTGAGCTGATGCAGTGGCCACAGATGTGAAGAGAGACCTGCTAAGATTGGCGCTGCATTGGACGTGGTGGGGCTGAAGCTGGGAGTGCTGCATAGAGTAACGTGATAAAGCGCTCAAGCTCCAACGCTGGGCAGACGTGGTAGTGGGCACAGAGTCTTTTCGATCAGACTTCCCAGGTGCTAACCCTGGCTCTGCCACTTAAAAGCTGGACAAGTGTCTTAACTTCCTAAGCCTCAACTTTCTCATGTTCAAAATGGGGTAATAGTCCAGGAACGGTGGCTCACGCCTGTAATCCCGGCACTTTGGGAGGCCAAGGCAGGAGGAGTTCAAGACCAGCCTGGGAAACATAGTGAGATTCCATCTCTACAAAAATTTAAAATATTAGCCAGGTGTGATGGTGCATGCCTGTAGTCCCAGCTACTCAGGGGGCAGAGGCAGGAGGATCACTTGAGCCCAGGAGTTTGAAGCTGCATGAGCTATGAACATACCACTGTACTCTAGCCTGGACAAAAGAATAAGATCCTGTCTCAAAAAAAAAAAAAAAAAAAAAAATGAGGACAAGAGAGTTGTGAGGATGAAATGAGAGAATGCATGGGATGTATTTAGCACAGTGATAATAAGTAAGGTGATAATAAGTGATAAGTGATAATAAGTAAGGTTAAGATGTATCATTAAGATGATGCCATGGTGTCTGCACTGGGTGAGGGGAGAGAAGGAGCATTTAGTCGGGCAGTGAGGGGTGTATGTGTCCAGTCTTGAGCACGTTGATCCTGGAATGCCAGTAGAACACCCAAGTGGAGATGTCCAATAGTCAGACGGAGGTGCATGTCGGCAGCTGACAACAAACACAGGCCCGAGAAGGAGACAGAAATAGGAAAACCTCACCTATGGACCCACAGCTGAAGCCCTGGGCACTGTAGGGGCTGAGGTGCTCAGACTGAGACGCACATAGAGCCCAAAAGGCAAGTTCAAGAGGACACCAATATTTGGGCAAGAGGCAGGGAGAGAAAGAGGAACCCACAAAAGAAATGGGACAGCATCATCAGAGAGGATATCCATGAGGGAGGGTACTCAGAACCCAGGACAGTATAGTTTCAGGAAGGACATGACCCACACTGTCAAATCCTTCAGAGAGGGCGGACAAGATAAAAATGCAAAGGGACACTTTGGGGACATTCTTGATGACTTTCATAAGAGCAGACAAAACGGAGCTGGGTAGGGGGAGAAGGCCGAGGCCAGTAAGTGGGAGGTGAGGAAGTAACGCAGCTCGACTGTGAGGAGGACACTGACGAAAGGATGGCCACTGACAGATGCCAAAAGTTAAGAAAGAGTAGACGATAATCGTTTCACCCAGAATGTTGTTCTTAAGACATTTTGTTCATTCTTCTCTGTCCTGTTCTTATGACTTTTAATTTTTTAATTTGACCTCATCTGCCCAGCCCTGTGTACCCCCCACTTCTACAGGGCCCCAGGTCCCATGATCACTTCTGTAGTGCACGAGCACTGTCTCAGGAGCCCCGGCCACCAGGGCAAAGGATCCACACAGGTTTGAGAGGTGAGTCGAGTTGCATAGCAAAATCTCTCCTGGCTTTAACCAGTGGAAGAGGCAGTCCCCTAAGGACAACCTTCAACAAGGAGAAAGCCTTCCCCATTGTTTCAGAGGGTGACCGTGGACAAGGCCTGGGAGGAAGGCAGCCCTGTATGGTCAGGTCCCCTGACATCGAGGCTGTCCCTATGGAACACCCAGCAGTACTCAGTGTCTGTGATTCATGCCCCACCAGCCCTGGATGTGGGATGAGGCAGCCAGGCAGGAGAGATGACTCAGCCAGTATGCTACGTGTTTAGATTTTTCTTTTGCGAGGCAATCGGTTCTATGGTCAAGCATTTTACTTCTCTAAAGAAAGTCCTTCAAACTTTTTAAACGGGGCATAAAAAAAACAAAACAAAACAAAAAAACAAAAAAAAAAAAAAAAAAAAAAGAAAGTCCTGTTCTCTGCTCACAGTGCTGGTCTTAAGATGAGTAAGAGGAGGCTTATGTGGTGTCAGTGCCTCAAAAATCACCTGCCTGGGAGCCAAAAACTAATGACTCAATTCATTGAACTCCTTTGGTGTGTGCCAGGCACGCTGTTAAACTCTTTACAAAGAGGGTCTCTCAATCCTCACAGTAATCCAGTGAGGAAGATACTCTTCTTACTCTCGTTTTACCAATGAGCAAGTGAATGAGATACCCAGATGTTAAGCACTTGCCCAACTTCTCATTGTTACTAAGTGACAGGAACAAAATGTGGCTCCCAGGCAATCAGACCTCAGAGCCCACCCACTCCCCACCACTACACGGCACCTGCTGTTTCATCCTTAGACCCTCTCTGTTTGGAGCTACTCTTTAAAAGGTGTTTACCTTTTGAGTACCTTTTAGAAAGGGTCAATACCGATTGGCATTAAGTGTTAGAGACTACCAATATTACATTCTTCCTGCAAAGGCTGAAGAGGCCACCCACCTGATGAGAGGAAGATGATGTTGGGGAAAGTGGAAAACTGAAGCAGAAAAGCAAGCCAGGGAACATGGCAGGGAGGGAAGAGGAGCTACAACAACAAAACCTGACAACTTCACAATCTAACCTAGAATATCTCTGACCACTCAGTGAGCTGAGTCGGCTATGAAAGGGTGGAAGCTGGGCCAGAGACAGGCTGTGTACGGCTCCCTGTGGATTCACAGAGAACCTTCTCCCATCCCAACCTGTCAAGAGAAGAAGTGGTCAGACCTGGCAGGTGCTCGCACTAAGTAGATCCAGAGAGTAATACCTACAACCCTCTTTTAAACCGAAATGTCTTGTGTGGGGAGCTGAGGAGGACCACACACATAACAAGAGAACAAGAGGGTTCTTTGAGCAAGGAGGGCCAGCAGGTGAGCCTGACATGAGGTGTTGCAGGCTCTGGCTTCCGTCTTGTGAGGAGACAGACCAGGGCAGCGTGGGACCAAAAACAACAGCCACGGCGGAGGCCCGCAGAGCCCTAAAGCAAGTGCATCTTCCTCACAAGGCCTGTGAGTAATACTGGCAACATTCATGACAACGCCATGCTCCTTTGTTCTTTCCCTACTGCCAAAACCTCTACACCGCTTGTGGGCCTAGAGCTCCTTCTGAATACATCATGGCCAGTGTCCTGACAAACAGATGGGGACAGAACTCTCAGGCAGGGTGAGTCCTCCAGGTCTCTGAGCCAGGCTGAAGCCAGAGAAGTATTACCAGAGTTACCCCTAACGGGTAACCCCAGACCTCCCTGCCACAGGTGGGGTTGTTTCTTTTGGCGGGGGTGGGGAGGCGGAGATATATTTCTTGAAATATTTCATAAAAATTTACATTTCACTATCTCCTGGAAGAAAAAATAGTAAATCTGCTAAAAATTCCATAATCTCTCCAACTAGCATGTTTTTCTCGCCAAAGAAGCCTCTCCTGATATGTAAGCATTCTTGAAGTTTCAGTTTTGCATGAGAAGTGTCTCCAGCAATGAACCTGAAAATAAAACACATGTGTTATTTATGGAGCATGTTGGCTGCATTCATTGTGCTATCAAAAATAATTCTTATAGAACATCTTTTATTTTGTATAAAAATCTGTCCTGGAAGATATAAAAAAGCAATTTATAATAGTAAAGATGCAAGAACTTTGATGTGATTTATAAGAAGACAGTGTACACATCTTTATAAAGCAACTATAGCACTCTTTTCAATCTAAGCATGATTAACATTTGGGCTGGAAGATTCTTTGTTGTAGGGGGCTGTCCTGTGCATTGTGTAATGTTTAGCAGCACCCCTGGCCTCTACCTACTAGACGTCAATAACAATTCTTCCAGTTATGACAACAACAATGTCCCCAGACATTGCCAAAAGTCCCCTGGGTGGGGAGAGGTCCAAAACTACCCCTAATTGAGAACCGCTAAGCAATAGAATGGAAATGCAAAAGATGACCATTTTTTAACCAAATCAGTTAGGTGAGCAGTAGATTAAAAGGTTAAGCATACTAATTATAATAATAAAAACTAGTACAGAAAACAAAAAAAATTAAAAACTGTATGTTTACATCAGAACACCTTCGACGTATTTCATAGTAGCTTGATCACAGGGATCCTTGTCCAATAGCTTGGAAACTTCAGTAGCATATCCCAAAATGTCATTTTCTTTTAAGTATTCCTCAGACGCTGCCTTTGCCAGGTTATACAGCACTCTGACTACAGGGAATAAATTTTGGCAAAGAATAGGATGCTTAAGATTGTTTCCACGAAAGAGTTAAGATGTCAATATATATAGCTTTAGTATCATTTCTTCATCACTGCCCATAGCCAGGTTTTTTCTTAATAAATCAGCTATTGACCTACACAGCATGGGAGTTGGTTTTCATATAAAGCATTTGTGTATGCACAGCAATTATAGGGCCAAGGAGCCAAGACAATAGATTGAAACTGAATTCTGAGTCTGTTTTGCCAATAAACAGGTCAGAAATTGAGTGAGAATATAGATGTGGTGAAGCCGGTCATCACCGTGGCAACTGAGTTCTACAGAAGGCAGCCAGTGGGTCTTGTAATATGATACAATGAAATCATGCAGCCTTATAACAAGAACACATGAGTAAGTCCTATAAGCCCAATTAATAAATAATGGGCTGTGGCCAGGTGCGGTGGCTCATACCTGCAATCCCAGCGCTCTGGGAGTCCAAGGTGGGAGGATCACTTGAGTTTAGGAGTTCAAGATTAGCCTGAGCAAGAGTGAGACGCCCCCTCTCTACTAAAAACACAGAAAAATTAGCCATGTGTGGTGGCACATGCCTGTAGTCCCAGCCGCTCAGGAGGCTGAGGCAGGAGGATCACTGGAGCCCAGGAGTATGAGGTTGTAGTGAACTATGATGATGCCACTGTACTCTGGCCCAGGCAACAGAGCTATATTCTGTTTCAATCAATCAATCAATCAACCAATCAATCAATCAATCAATCACAGGTTGCACCTAGATACACCACACTGCCTTGGGGATGTACTCTTTACAAAAGCTCAGCAATTTTGCTCCTTTATTAAGAGTGATATATTTTGACAATAATACAAACTCCTAAAAAGTAAAAAGTGTTCTTAAACCATACTGTTATGGGAAGAAAAAAAAAAACATGATAATTGTTTGGGCTGAATTAAGGTCTCTCAAAATTTATATGTTGAAGCCCTCAATGCCTGTGCCTCAGAATCTGACTGTATTTGCAGACAGGGTCTTTAAAGAGGCAATTAGGTTAAAATGAGGTCATTAAAGTGGGATCTAACCCAAAATGACTGGTGTCCTTATAAGCAAAGGAGATTAGGGGACACACACACACACACACAGAGAAAAGACCATGTGAGGATACAGGGAGAAGGAGGCATTTGCAAGCCAAGGAGAGAGGTCTCAGGAGAAACCAAAGCTTGGCTGACATCTTGACCTTGGACTTCTAACCTCCAAAAGTGCAAGAAATAAGTTTCTATTGTTTAAGCCCCTGGTCTGTGGCACATTGTTATGGCACCTCTAGCAGACTTACACAGTAATGTTCTAAGAAGGTGTTATTAGAGCATTGCTAACAGCACAGAAAAGCCAAGTTAATGCCCTGTGCTACAAAACTCAGGCTTAATTAGGAAGGATTAGCATTAAGTTATCAAGAAGCACCTCTTATCATCATTAATGTACCTAATTCACTGCCCAGAGCCCCCTGCACCCTTCCCTGCCCCCCACCCAGGGCCTCGCACCTTGGGCATGGACATCAGGGCAGGACAGCCACATAACTGGTCTCCCTGTGTCCCCTCTTACCCGTCATGTAATCCATTATCTAGACAGTAGCAAAAGTGATCTCAAAACAGACATCAGAGGGTGTCCTCCCCACCCTGAGTCCCTGCAATGGCTTCTCCTCACACTTAGAATAAAATGCAAATATCTGCCCCAGTCCCGAGGCCCTGGACAATCAGGATCTGGCTGCCTCCCACCTTTGCTCACTGAGGCTTCTTTCCATTCCCAGGACAGGCTCAGCCTTCCCCCACCTCTGCACATGCTCCTCCCTCTGCCGGGACTGCCCCCTCCCTTGCCACAGTGGCCCCTGCAGTCCATTAGGTCTCAGCTTAAATGTCCCCTCCCCAAAGAGGCATACTGACCACCCTTTTACAAGTGCCCCCACATACACACTGACACTCCAACTCCATCTCTCATTTGCATTTATGACATCGTGTAACCATTCCATGGGTTGGCTCACTTGGGTTTTGTGTGCCACCTCCCCTGGAGGGCAGGGTGGGTGTCTCTGTCTGGATCACTGTTCTAGACTCAGCACGGTGACTGATGCATAGTAGGTGCTCAGTAAACACGTCTCGAATGTGTGAACCCAGGCTGCAGTCCTCACTTCCTCCCCTGCATCTTCTTGCTCAGGCCCTGAATCCCCACCTGACCCTTTCCAGAGACTAGAACTATAGTATGTTCCCACCAGGACTAATGCTAATGCCAATGATACTTCCCAGTGTCCCATTTCAGCAGGACCTCGGCCTCATGCCGCAACTGATTTGGCCTCCTTGGACTTGGCCCACTTGTCTATACCAAGCCAGTTTGCCTGGTCCCTTGGAACTCTACACTCTGGCTTGTCCAGCTGCCTCTGGAAGGCCAGGCCCAGGTCCCACAGATGTGGCCCTGGTTCCACTCTGGGTTCCCCTGCTCACCAAGGCCCCAGCATACTTTTGACCAGGCCTGCCTCCATCAGGACAACAACTTGGCAGCTAGACTCTGTACACCAAGGATAAGAGCTTCATAAGTGACTAGAAGAGAATCTGTGCAGCATGGAGTTACCCAGACAGGCTTTGGAGTCAGAGAGGCCTGGCTTGGACTCCCAGCTTCAGATTGACTAGCGGCAGGAGCTAAAGTAGTTTAAGTTATTTAATCTCTGACCTTTAGCGTCCTCATCTGTAAAAGAGGGGTCACAACACATACTGCATGAGGGATATTTGAGGACAAAAGAGATCATCAGCATAAAGTGCCTTGGACATAGTAAGTATTCAACAAATGATAACTAACACTATAAAACTGAATTTACAGATGAGGACTCTGGAGAGGGTAAACAGCTTGCCCAAGGTGATCTTTGAGCTTCTGGCCATGGTAGCAGATTGCAAAAATAGTTTCAAGTCTCCACACCGCCCGTATCCAACTGCCCTGTGTGATGTTACTCTGTACCACTACCCATCAAGAAATGAATAAAGCCTGGGGACTTGCTTTGACCAATCAAATGCAGTGGAAAGGGGTATTGTCCCAGTTGTGAGCCTAAGCCCAGACTTCTGCTCTCCCTCTTGGAATCCTGAGAGCTGCCAAGTAAACAGGCCTGGGCTATCCTCCTGGAGGATGAGGAACACGTGGCCCAGTCACCCCTGTCATCTAGGTGAGACCCTCTTAGGCCAGCCAGCCCCACCTGCCCTGCCAGCTGATCTCAGACACTTGCCTGAGCCAAGCCCAAATCTGCTGAGCCCACCCCAGACCAGGATAACCCTCAGCTGACCCATAGATTCGTGGGCAAAAGTAAATGTAGCTTTAAGCCACAGAGTTTTGGAATGGTTTGTTATGCAAAAAAGCAAACAGATACAGCCATGTAAGTATGACAAAATGTAGAGTCCTCAGTCTAACTGTAAATCAATAGGTCAGAATTGCTCAATACCTTAGTTTACTGAAAATGCTTTGTCTCTGCTATATCAGTTGTACCACATCAGCTTCAAGCATCTAGAATAAAATGCTGGAGAATAAAATAATGGCCAGCATTCATCAGTGAGTAGCTACCTACCTACTGGGCACCACTCAGTGTGCTTTCCCATCTCACAACAACACGTGGTGTAGATGTTATTCATCCCTACCTTACCAATATGAACTCTGTGAACCAAAAAGTATAAGTACTGTGTCCAAAGGCACAGAGAGCTAATAAGTGGAGAGATGGGATTTGAACCCAGAAAGGCTGGCTTCAGAGTTGAGTTCTGATGGCCCTCCCTCACTGCCTGAAGCCTCCCTCTCTAAGGCTCATCCTCATAGGCCATTGCCTGAAGCCTCCCTCTCTAAGGCTCATCCTCATAGGCTGTGGCATTATAAAAGGGTGGACCAACAGACTGAGGAGCGCTTCATGTTCAACAGTCATAGCTACCAGCCCTCCAAACATACCAAGCCAACAAACGTGTGTCCATTTCCCTTTTCTCACAGATGCAAATAGCCCAGTCCAACCATGTGTAACCCAAGAGGTCACCCCTCTGCATGTGTCGCCATACCTTTCTGCTTCACCAAGTTCCGGCTGTCTTTTAAGTCACTGAGTGGAAAACACAGCAGGTTGGACCACGCTTTCTGGAAATACTGGAACCCTTCTTGAGTCATGCCGATTTCAAGGTACAGCTCTCCAATGGTGCTCTGTACTTTGAGAAGCATCTCCGTCACGGATTGGCTCTGCACAGATGGAAAAGGGAACCACTCCTGAGGGGAAAGGGCATCAGGACAGGTATAGCCACCAGACACCCGCCCAAGAAAGGCTCACTCCATGATGAACTTGCGAAAGACTGTATGCGTTACATCACTTCTCAGGGAATTTTAAATATTTATAAATATTTATAAAATAATGCTCGTGGTGAAATGTTTATTGGAAGACATTGCAAACGAAAAACATTTTTGGAAAATGATTTCACAGGTTAGTCAACGCTAATAAAAATTGTTGAAGACAAAATGCCAGTGTCTTGCATGTGTTAAAGGTCACAGAGGAGGCGGGCTCCAGAATGCAAATGAGCAGCTGGAGACACTGCTTGAATTCAAATGTGACCAGAGAGCTGCTAACTTTATGTTGGACACATTTTTGCTTAGAGACTTGAATATAAATTCCCCTTACAGGTCTAGCGTGTTTATTTCAGGGTGTAGGAGCCAAGGAAAAACTTTCCCTTTGCCCTCTGAAGTTCTCTTGAAAAATCAGCTGACAAAAGGCAGATGAATAGACAGAGACTTTAGGCAGATAAGGGAACTTCAAAGAACAACTTCATCCTCTGCTTTGGGAGGTGAGGGACGACCAGAGAGGTCTTGAGGTCTCTTGCTCAGTTCAGCATATCAAAGCACCATATCTTGGGGCATTGGGTCTCTGAGCCCCAACAAGTGTTATTTAACTTCATTAACTTAAATCACTTCTCTAGCAAAACCTTATCAAGTCATAGGAATATACCAGTTGATTATAGTCTTTTAAATGCCCAGCACAAGAAATGAGTTAGTGCTGAGCTTTCTTACTGCTAATATCTCACTTCAGAAAACGTACTATTAACAAAGACATGTGGAAGGGAATGTGCTTGGTAACTAACAGGGCCCTATACGATGGGCAGCAGTACCATTGTTATTTGTTATGTGATACTTCATGCTACACCACAATGTTAGCCCAGGAAAGGATTAACTGAGCCTGGCTCCCTGGTGTGAATTTAAAGACTTTGACTCTTTCTACACTCCTGCACCTACTGAAAGTGTTCTTCTTCCATGTCAAACTGACTCTTCTGTAGCTTGACCCAGAGTTTTCAAACAGGGATCCTGCAAATAGGTAATATCTGCTCTGAGATACTGCTCAGCTCTGAAGGCAGCCAGGCCTGGTGTGGAACTTCTAGGTCTGCAGTTCTTCTGCACATCCCTCAGGTGTATCTTTAAGAGCACCCCCTCTTAGTGGCTATTCTAGATCTCATCCCTGTGCTCACACTCCCATTCCTCCACTGCACAGATGGCCTCCATTCTGACTTTACAGAGAACGAACCTACCTTGAAAGGTAGCCCAGGGCCATAGACATTCCACAGTGTCAAAGATTCCCTCTTCTTATTTCATTGCTTGACCTTGCCTGACCTCTAGGTATTCTCTAGGATACCACTTAGTCTAGAATGGCTGTTCCAACTCCAGCCATCGGATTCACAATTCAACCAGCAGGGAGGAGGAGCGGTATTATGGACTAAATGTTTGTGTCCCCCCTGAAGTTCATGTTGAAATTCTAGCCCCCAGTGTGATGCTATTAGGAGGTGGGGCCTCAGGCGTTGATTAAGTCATGAGGGTGGAGCCCTCATAGGTGGTATTAGTGCCCTTATGAGAGATCCCAGAGAGCTAGCTAGCTCCTTCCGCCACGTGAGGGGTAGTGAGCAGGCACTATGAACTGGGAAGTGGCCCTCACCGGACACCAAATCTGCTGGTGCCTTGATCTTGAACCTTCCAGCCTCCAGAACTGTGAGAAATAAAGGTTTGCTGTGTAAGCCACCCAGTCTACGGTATCTGTTATAGCAGCTGAATGCACTAAGACAAAGGGGAGAAGAAGGGCACACCCTTCACCTCATGGGAGCTTCTCAGAAGTTATCCACCTCACTTCCATTGCATCCCACTGGCCGAAACTTGGGCACATGCTCACATCTAGCTTCAATTAAAGCTGGAAATGTATCTTTTCAAACAGCAATGTGCTGGGAAAAAGTCAAGGGGTGGGGGACATTATATACCATAAATGAAATGGGGAATAGATACTGAGAGATTACAAAAAGTCTCTGCTATACCTCATTTACCCTCTTTTTTTTTTTTACCCTCATCTTTGAAATTTCAAATTAGCAGTGTTTTCACTCTTTTCTTTTCCCTCACGCCTATTGCAGAGGAGGGGATGCCAAACCTCCTTCCCAAGGCCCCATCCCTGGCCCTGAGCTCTCGGGTCCTGCCCACCTGCCTCCTCACAGAGTCCCACCATCTCCAATCTCTCCCTCTCCCTGTCCATTTCCTGCTCCACACAAACACACGCATCCTGGACCAAACTTGACCTGAACCTGCTCCTACCCTGACTTTTCATCTTTCTCCTTTTACTGACAAACCTCTCAAACAGACTTCAACATGTGCTGCTTCTCCATCTCATTTTCACACAGTCACCTCTTATAGCCCTGCATTTCAGCGCCTCCCACACGCCCCTGCCACCTCAGTGGTTACCACTCACCCCTACTCACCAGACCTAGGGGTCTTTTTCAGTCCTCGTTTGTCCAGGCCAAACCTCTAGGCAGCATTGGATGCTGTTACCCTCCTTGATTTGGGGGAAACTATGATATCCTGATTCTCTTCAAATCCCTCCCTCCTTCACAAGTTCTACTTTTACTAATCTCCTTCTAAATATTAGCAATTCCCCCCAAATAGGTTCTTATTATTATTGAGAGACCTTGTTTCCTTTTGTGGTTTCAGCATTCACCTGTATGTCAGCGTCTCCCTAATCTCCCTTCTCTATTACAGGTGGGGAAACCAAGGCTCGGTGAGGTTAACTATATCACCCAAGCTCACGTGGCTAACCAGTAGGAGAGCAAGGGGGTCCAACCCAATCTGCCTGTCTCCAAAACACTGCTCTGTATGTTTTCTTGACAAGTGAGCCTCTGTTTGATGCATAAGCAGAGGACTCTTCACAAACATTATCATTTGGTTTTCCTGCTTCCTGGTACACCTGCTGTGAAATACTGAGAGGAGAGTAATGAGATCACTTTTTAATAAACATCTAAATCAGGGATTCTCAAGCTTAGTGCTGTTGCATTTGAGGCAGATTAACCCTGTGCTGTAGGGGCTGTTCTTGTGCACTATAGGATTTTAGCAGCACCCCTGGCCTCTACCCACCAGATGCCAGTAGCAACTCTCCCCCAAATGTGGCAACCCAAAATGTCTCTAGCATTGCCAAAAGTGCTCTAAGGGACAAAATTGGCTCCCAGTTGAAAATCACTTCATTAAATTTTAAAGCTACCTTATCTGAAGAAATTAGAAAACCGTATACAGAATGTGTACGTCACAAATAACAAGATCTTCCCCCTCAAGAATGTTAGGCACATATTTCAAAGACGTTGCTACTGCCCAAAATAGTTATAAAACTTCTCTTTCAGAAGTGCCTTCAGAGCCTGAAAAAAATTCTTTTAATAGCCTTCATGGTGGCTAGTCCCAAAGAACTGCTGCAAAAATATTTTGAGGATAGGATCAGAAGACTGATGCTTCTGGAAGGAGTCCTCTGAAGTCGGAAATTCTCTTTGGATGCCTGAACTTTGGCATGCCGCCTACCAAGCCGGCCTCGTTCCTTCATGACCACGCATTCCAGGGATTTGCTTCATGACTGAGGAGCTGCAGAAGGTGGCAGTGGCTTACAGCTGGCCTGGGAGCTCCACCAGGCCAGAAACCAGCTGGCTCATTTGCTGCTATCACCCCAACTCCCTGCACAGTGCTGGGCCCAGACAAGGCCCTAGAGAATGCTAGTTGAGTGACTGAATGACACGACTGAGTGAATGACTGACTGACGGAGTGAGTGACTGCAATCAGGCATTCAACGGTTACCCGATAAAATAACTGGTGCTTTTCAGACAGGTGAATGTCATCAATAGAAAATGTGGCCCTCACAGGAAAAAAAATTGGTGCAGGGGAAAACTCCACAGTCATAACAGGAAACCACAGAATCAGTGGGCTCTACTCCCTGAATGATGACAGAGTGGACAAAAGAGCTTAAATCAAACTCGTATATTTCTAACCTAGGCCTCACTTCCTTTATAACCTGAGGACAGCAATGACAAAATAGCTACCAGCACTTAAGATCTCACTATGTACCAGAGATCATGTGAGGTGCTTTAATGGACTTGCTTTCTTGACCCTGTTAACAGGCCCGTGAGAGAGATTCTAGAATCCTCGAAAATGAGAACTCACAGAGGCACAGATTAAAATCCTCACCAAGATCACACAAGCAGAATGTGGAAAAGAAGAATCCGTGTCAGTCTGAAAACAGCCCATCCTCTCTTCACGACTGCGTGCTACCTTGTAAGGACATGGAGGAATTTCCAGGTTCAAATTGATTTACCGATGTATTTGTCTCATTTATCAAGCACCCACAGGCTATAATATACCAAGGAGGAACAAAAATTGGCAAATAAACATGGCCTCTGCTATATAGGGACTTGCAATGTTGAGTCTCACAAATCTCTTTAGATAGAAAAGAGATCCATAGAGATGTATGTTGACAGGGGCAGGGGCAAAGTTTTATAAAAATCTGAAGGTCTTTGTTTTAAAATAAAAACAGCTTTGTTTTGGGTTATACTACCCTAAGTCCATAAATTCTACCGAAATCAGTGAAAATTTATAATGTTTTCTTTAAAAATAGTGGTTAAATGTCATCATAAGCATATGTTTGTTATAAGTGAAGCCTTTCATTGTATTCAGCAAAGCCAAAGTTCATATTTCAGAAAAGCAAATCAATACAGGGACAAGATAACCAATCAATCTTCCCCAACATTTTTATGAAAGTTATAACCAAGTCTTTGGCCAGTCTTTTATTAATTCACTTCCATCTGTATATTCCCTTTTTTGCTTTATGAACATTTCTCTTTTCCCCTGAAGCAACACTTCTCAGTATTCATTACTCCTATAATGATTCCTAACTATTTACTGCTTGTTTTCACTTATAATGTGGGGGATGGGTTAAAATCATAGCTTTCTTATTGATGAACATAATCAATTGATTCCTCTATTGGATTAAATTATAAAAGAACAAAGGTAAATAGTAGCTGAAAATATTAATATCTAACACAAAAGGAAAAAAGTTTGAAGGATTTAAAATTTATTCTCACTGTACCTCCACTAGCATGTCCTCAACAATCAAGAACAACTCTTCTGCTTCATTGATCTTGCCCATAAGTTTCAAAAAACTTCCAATACAGAATATTAATCGGCATTTGTCAGCAGCAGTAACCTCAAAAAGTCTGCATTCCAGCACTAGAGTAGAAGGAAAAGTAAATAATCCTAAAGTACATGTGGAAAAGAACAAAAAGTACCCACTGCTTAATCTTGATACAGAGATTAAATACATTACCCATAGTTCAGTTTCTCTCTCAAGAGATTAGCACTTTGCTTTTATTAAGATTTACATATATTCCCAAACCAGTAAAGTGTAAAAAAAAAAAAAAAAAAAAAAAAAAAAAGATTTACATATAATGCCAAGTATTTTAAACTGACATGAAAAACAACTAAAATGCTTTTAAATAATCTTTGCATGTAAATTTTGAAAACTACAGAGTCAAAAACGAGTATTTATATAGCTCAATCCATGTATTGTTGTAATTTGTATTTTGGGGTTATTTTCAAGCAAGAAGAAAAGATATTTAAATTTCTTACACCATTCTGCCCTCTGTTGCAACTATCTTGAATTGCTGGTTTTAACAGAAAGAAAATGTTAAAAGAACAAAATGGAGTCACACCTGGTATGTGTGTGTGGGTGGGTGGGTGTGGGTGTGTGTGTGTGTATAGTTATACCTTATACACAAATGAAAATTTAGAATTTTTTTTTTTGAGACAAGGTTTCACTCTGTTGACCAGGCTGGAGTGCAGTGTTGGCATCATAGCTCACTGCAGCCTCAAACTCCTTGGTGCAAGAGATTCTCCTGCCTCAGCCTCCTAAGTAGCTAGGTCTACAGGTGTATGCCACCATGACTGGCTAATATTTTTATTTTTTGTAGAGACAGGGTTTCACTATTTTTCCTAGGCTGGTCTCGAACTCCTAAGTTCAAGCAGTCTTCCCACCTTGGCCTTCCAGTGTGCTAAGATTATAGGCATGAGCCACTGCAGTGAGCCCTGAGAAAGCAATTTTCTCACTATAAAACAAATATGTGTACCTTATAGAAAAACTAGAAAATATAGAAAAGTACAAAGAAAAGTAAAAAACACCCATAATTGCATCAAAGATAATTTCAGTTAACATATTGCTGTATTGACTCCTGATCTTTTGTATTACCCATACATACACACACACTCTTTGTAAAATTAGAATTAGAATCATCCTACACATAATGTTTAATATTTACTTTACTTATTTATTTTGAAACAGGCTCTTGCTCTGTCACCCAGGCTAGAGTGAAATGGCGCTGTCATAGCTCACTGTAACCTTGAGGTCACAAGCCCAAGCAATCCTCCTGCCTCAGCCTCCCAAGAAGCTAGGACTACAGGCACACACCACCATGCCCAGCTAATTTTTTAAAAAACTTTTGTAGCCACAGGGGTCTCGCTACGTTGCGCAGAGTGGTTTTGAACTCCTGGCTTCAAGTAATCCTCCCACCTCAGCCTCCCAAAGTGCTAGTGTTATGGGCATGAGCCACTGCACCTGGCCTCATATTTTTGTTTTTGGCTGAAGCCCTGGGCCACATCAAGGTGGAAAAAAATCCATTTCTGGTGCTCACTGTGCTCAGTAAATGGTTGTTGGAGAAATGAATTCACTAAAGAAGAAATACTAGATTTCATTGGTTCTAAGATGCATGCATTCTCAAAACTTAACATTTCTGAAATAGGGTTGGCATCTTGCAGTTGATGGCATCTTAGAGTTTATGAAAAACAGTAGAAATTGTTAATAAATGCCATAATATTCTGTTTCACTAGAACTCAAAGAAATGCAAATAAAAACAACAATAGGATGCTATTTTTTCAGGTGCCAAATTGGCAGTGATTTATTTTGGCAATGATTTTTAAAAATAATAATATTGGTAAAGATGTGAGGAAATAAGTACTTTTACATGCTACAGTTAAGAATTTGTATCTTTCTGAGGAGCGATTTGGCAATATATATAAAAGTTTTAAAAATATTAATATATTGTGGTTTTTAATTTCTAAAAATCATTCTAAGGAAATAATTGGCAATGTTTAAAAAAATTCTGCCAATAATCCTCATTTTATAATAGTGAAAAATTGACTAACTAAATGGTAAGCTATAAAATGGAATATACTTCAGTTGTAAATATGTAAGTTCTCAAAGAATATTTAAGGATGTGGAAAAATATTCACCACTACATTTTTGATAGGTTTTAAGTTGCATGAGAACAGGAAGGATATATATCATGTTTGATATATATCCAACACCTAGCACTGACACATAAATATTTGTTAAAAATGGAATTAAAAAGTAAATTTCAGCTGGGAACTGTGGCTCACACCCGTAATCCAAGCACTTTGGAGGGCTGAGGCAGGAGGATTGCCTATTAGGCAATTGCCTATATAGGCTTGGAATAACTATGGGTCATTCCATAGAGGGACCTGCCCTACACCCAGAAGGAAGAAATCTATGGTCAGAGACTCCAAGAAGAACCTAGACAGATTGGCCTTGCTGAGTTTCAGTCAATCATATTTCTACATGGCTGTCTATGCTTTGCTGAACCTAAGCATAAAAATGGGCCATTTCCCCTGTATCTCTGTGTTTTCATTCTGAAGGCTCCCGTGTGCACATTAATGAAATTAATGTATGCCTTTTCTCCAATTAATCTGCCTCTTGTCAGTGATTTTCAGTGAACCTTCAGAGGGCAAAGGGAAGCTTTCCCTTGGCCCCTACAGGGTATATACCCAGCCTGGTCTTGAACAACACAAGACGAGAGAGAGAGAGAGAGAGAGAGAGAGAGAGAGAGAGAGAGAGAGAGGGAGGGAGGGAGAGGAGGGAAGGCAGAGGAGGCAGAGGAGAGTGGAGGAGGGGAGGGGAGGGAAGGAATATCATGCCACAGAGAATCTACAACGAAGTCGCCTTCTAGGCTCAAAGCCCTCTCTGCTGGTCATCTATCAGAGATGCAACTTCCTGAGATGCGTGCCACAGAGAGAGGCAAAGCCGGCGCCAGGCGGACTGCACAAGAAGTACCTGAGGAGCAGCAAGTTCAAGATCCCAAATGCGCATCATTTCCTGTCAACCCAAGAAGTTAGGCTTGTTATCCTCCCGGAGCCACCGGGGGGAGCCAAACTCCGCGGTCCAGAGGGAGGAAGGCGCGCCGGTGCCCGACCCATCGCCGCCAGCAGCGACGTGCCGCGGGACACGCCGGATACTCGTCCGCTCCCCCATCAGCTAACGGGACTGAGCCGCCCTTGGAAAACTCTCATTTTTAAAGGAGTTTTCCCAAAGCAAGCAGCAGTCAAAACTGTCAGTAGCCTGATCATCTCTCAGAACCGAAGGGGATGATGAAGAGTGAGACCTGAAAAGGAAAGTCTCAGTCATTTCCCACAGACCCCATGAACCGGCTCTCTTTCTACTTTGGAGCGTGCCTGCCTGAAAAGTTCCTCTCCGTCCAACAGCAGGACATGGCCCGCGCTTCCCCAAGCCTCTTCTTCCTCCTGGCGGATTTGAGGGAAAGGAATTTTTGCACTACCTTCCCCTCCCCATCAGCCCTGCTTCTCTGGTGATGCCTGGCTCACCCTAAACTCCTGCTCCCGCGTCAGCCCCGAGTCCCAGCTGTGCTTGCACTTCCTGAGGCTGCTTGCTGCGCCCCCTGTCTGACGCACATCCTTCAAATGTAGAACACTATGGATTCTCCTTTATTCCCCCAAACCATGTGTCTGTAACAGACTTCTACCAAAAACATAGAGTATCAGAGTAGGGCTTCATCACAGCACAGAGGAGAGAGCAACTCACAGTGGAGTATTAGACATTTAATTATTGTATTAATTTAGTTGGCATCTATCCTCAATTTGGGAATGTCTAACTCTTAGTCCTGGTTTTCCTCCCAGCTCTCTAACCCTTCCTTCCTGTCCCCAGCTGCATCCTCTTCCTCTGGTCCCCCTGGGAGTTCTGTCCCAGGCCCACCTCCCCTTCCTCTCCCTGACGACCTCATTTCCTCTCCTAGGCCCTTCCCCCTAATAGGGATGTATCTCTGGCCCAGCTCTCTTTCTCTGAGCCCTGTGGCTATCTCCTCCTGGCTTTCCACAGTCACTCCAAACACCATGTGGCCTCTGTTCCCCAGACCACCCCCCCCTTAGCAGAGTTTCCTGTTTTGGTTCAATAGCAGTGTCATCTGCCCATCATTCAAGTCAACTTGGGATTCATCTTGACTCCTCCATCTCCTGTACCCAACTGATGATCAAGTCCTGTGGATTCTATGTGGAACCTTCCACCTCCTCTTCTAAGCCAATGTTGCCTGTCACCTGGTTTGTTACCACTAGCAGGTCTCCTTGGAGCCATGCTTGTCCATTTCCATTTCATTGTTTACATGACACCCAAAGTGACCTTTTAAAACCAACCCGTTACCATCTTGCTAGAATCCCTGATGGCTTCCGCTGATCTTAGGATAAAGGCTGAATCCTTAGCATGACCCAGGGCCTTGGGCTCCTGCCTCTGCAGTCTCAGGACGCCCCTTCGCTGTCCACCCTCTCTTACCCACGTGGGACTTGTTCAGTTCTTCAGATTCACTACTCTCCTCTCCCCCAACCGTGTTGTTCCCTCTTTCTGGAATTCTTCCCTTTCATCTCTGTGTCAGATTTCAGACAAGCTCCATGCCACCACTTTGACCTACTCCTCTTGAGCCAAATTGCTTTTTCGTGTACATCATTTACACTTGACTATAAGCTTCATTAAGGCAGGAACCACGTCTGCCTGATCACTGCTCTATCCTTCGCATCTAGCACCATGTTTGGCACAAGTAGGTACTCAGATGAATTTGGAGGAGTGACAGTATTTGCTCATATCTCTTTAATTGGAAAAAAAGACAGGGATGAACTGGCAGGCAACTTGCAGGGATTGCACACTATGAAACAGGATTTCTCCCAAAATTCTTTGAAAGAGTAATCCAATTAAGGGCCAGACCTCGAGCAGCACCTCAGGAGGGCAGATTGATTCAGAGCTGTGTGTGGCTACATAACCATGGAGGGAAAAAACAGGGAGGCCCAGAAGCCAACCAGACCACTGTAATAACTCCTGTGGCTCTTATACAGGATTCCTGATATAATCAGATCTTATTCTGATGAATCTAATACCTTTTTCTATTGCTTCGGTAACAGTACTTGACCTTGCAACTTCTTTCAGCAACCACCAAGAGAGAAAATTGAGCTCACATAGTCCTGGAGGAACTTCAGGGAGTCTCCCCAAATGGTCATGGGCTGAGTCTGCAGGCCAGGGTAGGAGGAGAGGCACAAAGGAGAACAGCTACCATATGCAGAGTGACTAGATCACAGCCTCGCTTTATGAAGACTCTTCCAGAGAGAGGAAAGGAGGGCCCGGTAGAGATGAGAGAATGGATGTGAGGAGCTTTATGGAGGTAAAATCTACAGGACTTGGCCATGATTAAACATGAAGGGTATCGAAGGCAATTATGGAGGTCAGGGCTCCCACTGAGAGGTCTTTGGGGGGGGGGTGTCCAGAGTAACACAGAGACTGACCAGCAGAATCTTAGAAGTTTATCTAGGTGACATCATGCTTATAGCATCACCAGAAGATCCCTATGGATATTTCCCCCATAATTCAAAGAATCCATTCTGAAGTAGGCTCATTTACATCTGGAAAATCTGTACACACTGAAATATTAGATGATTTTCTACCAGTTTCAACTCTCAGCCCCCAGCCTCTTCATCACCATAACAGCCTTGTTATGATAAGCAGTGTGGCATTATCCGAAGGACTTTCTTACCCGCCCTCCTTGGAGATCTAATCTCCCTCTTGTTAGCATTCAACTTCCCATAACACACAGAACCACCCCTCCCTTCCCCTCCCCCTAAGCATAAACACATTTCCAGATGCGTACTGACTGTATTCAACACACTTGTATCCTTGTGAGTAGTGCCTGATTATTGGATCAGGCAAATTCCAAAACTGCATATATACTCACAGCAATAAGAATAAAGGTAAAGGCAAAACGTTTAAAGACCAAAATGGATACAGGTGTGGTAAAGCCCAAATCTGTTCCTCACTCTCTGGGAGACCTCAGGAAACTTACCTCTCTGAGACTCAGTTTCCTTAATTTCACTCAAGATACTACTAGTATTATAGCAGCTTTATGAAAATTAAACAAACTGATTTATATAAAGTACTTAGAGTCTGGCATATAACAAATGCTCAAAATCTGCTATGCTCACTTGACTGTAAACCCCACAAAGGCAGGGACTCCATTTGCCTAGGTCATTGCTGTGTCAGGGAGTCTATCAGTTCATGGCCCAGGGAGGCCTTCACTTAGTATTTGTTGAAAGAATGAATAAAGGTTATTATTCTGCTTAATAAACCAAGAAATATAGGATGAAAGGAAGGACAGGCAAAGGGACCTACTTATGGAGAATGAAAGGAGGAAATATTAACCATAGAGCTATCCAAATCCAAGTCACATAAGCAGAAAGTCAAAGCACGGTTGTCCCCACTTGGGTTGAGGCCACCCTCAACAGTACCATTTTCTGTACTGAACGGTGGAGAAAGTTAGCGCTTCCATGAGTAGGCAGAGGAAACACAGAAAGAACAAATTTTGGGGAAGTACCCTGTAATAATTTAGGTTTTCACCTATTTAATTTGAAATGTCAGCCGGTCACTCAGAAAGCTGTTGGTCAGGCAAGAATACTATTAGTAGCTTCTCATGAAACGGGCTCTGAAAGGAGTCAAGGCTGGAAATACAGATAAAGAAGGGAGGCGAGGGCTGTGGTTGAAGCCAGGAGAAAGCACAGAGAGAAAAGGAGGTTAAGGAGAAAGCCCTGGAAAACAGCCAACTGCAAGAGGATAAAGAGAAGCAATTTCAAAATGAATAATTTGTCCCAATTTCTTGTCTTCAGAAACTGTTGGCTTCAGTTGTAGGGAAGAGAAATCAGAGAGGTCTGTTTGAGTGATCAGAATTGTGTGAGGAAACAGGAGAACAGTAACTTTGGGCCACTCTGTGTCCCAGCAAAATGAACCACTGAAACATCGTCGCTCACTGTACCTGAGAGCGTAAGTCTCTTCTTCACTTTATGGCACCGATCTGCTTTAATCTTGGCCACCGAGAGTAAATAGGCCCCAGAAACATCACATCCGGCTTCCAATAAGATGCTCCAGTAGTGAGTGAGGTGCAGCCTTGTCCAGAAGCTCAGGCCTTGGATTCTTGATATAAAGTCTGTGATACTTGTGACACAATGTATTAATACACAGAATTTTACTCTTTCATGCCTTGAAGGAAGCTCGTCTTCCATTTGCCACATTTCATAAGCCTATTGCATAAACTTCTTTCCTGACATGACTTGGGTAGGTCACCAGATAAGGATAAGCCCTGCCCTCTTCGGCAGCCAAAGCCAATTCTGCTCATCTGTGCAGGCGCCCCCTCCTCTGGGCAGGCTCCCCGGGTCTACCAGGCAGAGCTGACCCCTCCCTCATCTGTGCCGCACAGCTCACTGTGCCACTGCTCTAGTGAGGCGCTTACCACCATGTATAGGAATTCTCTGGCTGGCTCAGCATCTTCCCCCACTAGAAGGAAAGCACCTAAGGGCTTGGGGCTGTGTCTATTCACTTCTGCACCCTCAGGGCCTGGGACCTCATGGGAGACAGAGTGGGTCATAAGGAGATATTTGCTGAGTTAAATGCATAGGAGGGAAAGAAGGAAGAGGCAGGGAAGGAAAGGGGGATGGGGGAGGGAAGAGAAGGGGAAAGAAGGGGGTGGAAGGGAAGAAAATAAGAGTTTAGCAGGAGAACATGGCCAATCCTTTATCCCTTTCCAACTCTCCAGAATGCCACTTAACTCTGAGAGGAATCCATGTGGCGTGAAGAGAGGACAGAAACACTCTGCAGCGCCAGACAGATCCAGTGGAGCAACCCCGGGGATCCGCCAACCACAGAAGTCGATGCAAGGCGATGGCCCATCCGAATGAATGAGTGGGTGGTTGAATGAGTAAGTGAATGAACACATCTTGCTCAATGGAACCATGGGTATCTAAGGAAAAGCTAAATCTGCCTACATACAATGATAGAAAAATGGCGAGACTTACCTAGGGCTTGAGAGAAAGTCGCACAACCCATTCCAGCACCCGCTCATTTTCATATGCCACGGCAATTCTTGATACACTCTCCAGAAAGTGGTCTGCCGCTGGAAGTATCTCATCAAGATTTGGTGAAAATGTGTTTTCTTCTGATTCACTGAGTTCTGAGATGCATATGGACTGCTTTCTCTGACAGGAGTGACTACACCTATTTAAAAATCAATCACAGTTTCATGCATCTGGCTTTTTAGTATATGAAAATGCCATAGCAAAAATGTGACTGCTCTGTGGCCATCATTAGTGAAATAAAACTCAAGGTTGCTGGAAAAAATGTATCTAACACATTAGTCAGCATTTACCAAAGAATTAGTTAGAGTTATGACCACTGGCCTAGAATTTGAGGACTTTTTGACCATATTGATTTTTCATGGTGAGTCCTCCCCTTCCTCCAAGGAAATAGCTGTAACCTATTTTTCTGTTTTCTTTTTTGTTTGTTATTTCAGAAACCTGCAATGCTCCAAAATTTTATTTTAAATATATACTATGGTTGCTGGTTAAACAAGCACTTTCAAACACTTGAGGGTATACATTTTGGAGAAGTTAATCCATTGCATGGATCTCATATAGGCCAAGGGGTAGCTGAGCAAACAGATGGCAAATCTGATGTTGGAGCCAGGATTACTATATCTTCATTTCCAAAGAGAAATGGTTCCAACAGGTCATACTACCCAGACATAAGCTTCTCAAAGACAGAAGGGTTTTGTTTAATTAAAACCTGGTGATATCTATCCTTGAAAACTAAACTATTAATAGAAGTATTTTAAAATATTCTGCAAGATGAATGGAGCACACAGCTAGATGGCGCCCCAAGCCCAGCTCTTCATAAGAACTGTAATAAAAAGGGAAGCCCACTGTTAAATGACCATTCTGCATTTCCACTGAAATGATTTCCAGATCACCCACCCATCTGGACAGACTCCGAGCTACCTGGTCTAAAGCGTGCAGATACGCCCAGGCAGCAAGTGCCGTGCTTAAGAGACCCATGGAAGAAAAAGAAAACTCCTCCTTCACTGTGTGTAGCAAAGGTATGCTTGTGGGTAGTAAATTGGGAAAGTGGAGGTGCAGAAGAGGGGACAAAAAGAACTGGGACAAATATTACCCTGAGTCCAAGATCTGAAGAGTCAAAGTGTATGAAACATTTCCATAGGCTGGGCATGGTGGCTCATGCCTATAATCCTAGCACTTTGGGAGGCCAAGGCAAGAGAATTCAGAAGTTCGAGAACAGCAAGAGCAAGACCTCATCTCTACAAAAAATAGAAAAATTAGCCAGGTGTGGTGACACACCTGTAGGCTCTGCCACTTGGGAGGCTGAGGCAAGAGGATTGCTTAAGCCCAAGAGTTTGCGGTTGCTGTAAGCGAGGCTGACGCCACAGCACTCTAGCCTGGGAAACAGAGTAAGACCCAGTCTCCACAGACAAAAACAAAAACCTCGCAGAAAATCCTGCATTTAATTTTGTCTTTTTACAAAATTAGCTCATCAGGAGGATATGGATGTGAATCCCCACATGACCAACGGAAGCTACTTAAAATCAGAGAGACCAGGTGACTTTCCCCCGGGCAGCACGTGACCAGTAACTGGAGAAGCAGCATTCGAACCTCCTGCTCTAACGTCATGCTCTCCAACTACACACGGGATGTGAGGAATGGTTTGACCCGGTGTCATTTTTGCACACACAGCGCAGCTTGGTTCTCACTGACAGACCTAATGGCTGATGCTTCTGCAGTCTGGTTGCGGCACATGGTAGGCTAAAGTATGCTGCACTGACAACCCCCAAATCCCAGTGCCCTAAAAGAGCAAAGGCTGATTATGTCCACCACAGGATTGGAGACCGGGAACTCCAATCCAAGACTCCTGAATGCAGGACTCACAGAGCAGCTGCCATCCTGAACGTTTCCAGTGGCCACTTAGTCGCAAGGCCCCACCCGACAAGGGGCCCAGGAAGTGTTTCCCACGGTGAAGGAGGCATCTGGCTCAAAGGGCCACCACAAGTGCTTATCATAGTGCCAGATGCTGTGTCTTACATGAACTAGCATTTTTAATACTCTCAACGTAAGTAGTGTTATAATATTATCCCTATTTTGCAGGTGAGAAACTGAGTCTTAGGGAGGTAAGCACCTTGCACAAGGTCACACCTTGTGCACAGGGTGACACAGTTCTGTCAGACTCCAAAGCCATCACACTTAACAACAAATCATTTCTAGTAGATGCTATGGTGATTTCTGGGAGGAGGGAAGGTAGACTCCATTTGCCAAACAGCACGCAGACCTCAGAGTGACATGAGGACAGGGCAAAATGAGGCCACTCCTGTTCCATGACCATGATGTCATATGCAGCTGGCTTGTGCTTCCTCTCCTGTGCTCAGCCCCCCAGTTCTTGATTCTACTGCGGGCAGATGTTGGAAGCTGAGGTTCTGTATGGTCTCTCAAAGCAATAGAGGTGAAAGCCTCAAGAAATGGCAGGCCCAAAACACCAGCAGCCAGAAATAGCTGTGCATTCATTCAGCAAACATCTATTGAGTGAAACTGGAGTGGGTCCCAGGGAACGCAGACCTGCCTAAGGGTGTCTGATAAAGCAGAGTAATCTTTAGGCCACAGAATTCAACATCACCAGTTGATCTGCACGGGCCATCCTGGGAAAGGTGGTGGGTAAGAGGCCCCAGGGAAGAAAGTGAGGAAAAAGAAGAGGATGTTGATAGTGGCTAACATTTCTTGAGACTTTACTATGGGCCAGGCACTGTTCTAAGTGCTTTGTATGGAATTACCTTGTTGAATGCTCACAATGCTATGGGGTTAGTACACTTATTTTATAAATGAGGGATCTGGGACACAGAGTTGTAACATAATGTGGCCAGAGTCACCACCTAGCAAGTGGGAAAGCCAGGGACCCCCCTAGTCTGGCATCAGGATCCCACTTTTAACCATCATTCCACATTGACTCCTTCCACTCAACAGATATGGAAAAAAGGAGCTTCACTGGATTTGGGGGGGAGCTTTTATGGAGTGTAGGGTTATAAGAAGAAATGGAAAGGGCTCCCTGAGAGCCTGAGAAGGGTGAGGTTTGGGGAAAAGGGAATGCACTGGTGCTCTGATCTCCCAGGAGATGCTTTCCGCCCGCTTCTGATGGAACCAGCATGACCCCAGCGCCTTGAGGTCTGGCTGCTTTGGGACCAAAGGAGAAGAAGGGACCCTTGGCATGAAGCCTAGCTTTCTCTTAGCAAACAACACCAACAGCTGCAGTTGGGAGGCACCCACCTTTGTAATAAGAAACCAGAAGAGACTCTCTGGTGACTACAGCCAACAAACAGATGGGTGGGCACATATGACACTGCTGGGGACTCCCAGGAACACCTGGAGCAGGTGAGGATGTTCAAGGGGCTGGTGAGAAATGAACTGCCCTAGTCTGAGGATGTTCTGGTTGCACGAGAAATAATTTATATGAAGTGCCCAGCACAGTGAAAACACTGAGAAAAAAAATGTGGCTATCATAACCAGTGGACACATGAAGAATATAAAACCAAATAATCCTCAGTTTAAGTAATAAAAGGGGAAAGAGGTTGCTCCATCACAACCCATGATCTTTCTAAGTCAGCCAATTTTTGATAGGGGCAATCTAGGTTACAAACTGAATATAATGCTAGACATTTCACATGCAAGAAGCATGTAGATCAATGTCACTAAGAGAGACCAGCTTGCCTCAAAGTGATTGATTGGTATGACATTTGGACAAAAGAGTCAAAAAATAGCCCTTTACAAAAAAAAAAAAAACCCATATTGGACTCAAGTACTTTAGCCCTGGTTTTTAGACCTTGTTCATCCTTATGGGCACATGGAGGTGAACTATCGCTATTACAATTCCTCATGCCTCTAGCAAAGACTAGTATTTACAGCCTCATTCTGCAGCATGACAACTTTTTTCCCATGGAAATAGCAAATATTGTCACCAGTGCTTTTTTGGGGGGACTCACAGTACAGTGAAGGGATGTAATGTGTACCCACAATTTTAACAGCCACACCATAACCTTTAGTAGAAAACGGATAAATTGAATGCATTGCAAACCATCATACGGCAAGTGAGCAGAAGAACCTACATTAAATCTAAGAGCATCCTCTTTCCCAGGCCTGCTCTCTCCTCCACATCACATAACTTAAGAGAGAGCGGGAATGATTACAATGTAGGAGAGAAATAGTAAAAAGGATTTATCCTTTTACAAATGAAAGTAAAAGAGAACATAGTAAATTTAGGGGGAAATTTGCACAGAGCTTGGAATCTTCCCAGAGAAAGATGTTCTGAGTCCTCAGACCTGAAGTGCTCTGTGTAATTGTCATGGAGTGCTCTGCTTCTAGGTCTGGTATTTGCAATTTCCAGGGTCTCTAGGATGCAGACGTGCAGTCCTTTTCAGAAAGGGATAAGAATTTGATTTCAGAATTCAGGTAGAGACCTCTACCTCCCACCCAGTATCCACTCAGAGAAGTTCTGTCACTCTTCTTGTTAGTGACAGAATCCTACCTTGGTTTAGGGTAGCAGTATACCCCGTTGAAACCTCTATTCCCAGCTTCCCTTGTGTCTAGCTGTGGCCAAGTAATGAGGCTCTGAGTCAAAGAGATGTAAGTAGAAATGTTGCTATGAAGCTTCTGGGAAAGTCCCTTAAATGGAATTGGTAAGCTCTTCTTCCTTCCTGTGGACTGAAATGTGATGGCTGGAGCTCCAGCAGCCATAAGCATGGGGTGACCTCGAGAATGCAAGCCAGTGTAGGGAATCAGGGACACAGAAGGAGCTGGGTCTCAGGTGACTTTGTGGAGCCAACAGAGCAGCCCAGAAGTCTGTTATAGGAGAGAATAAACCCTGGGTAGTTTAGCCACTGAAGTCAGGTCACTCAGTTACTCATAGCCAAGTACAAGTCCTAACATATAACCATTTCCATACGTGTTTATGGATGTACTCCCACATGAGAAATCCCAGCCACGAGCTTTCCCTCGTACGTGACTCCTCCCTGCCCCTAACTGCAGGTGTGCTCACAGAGCCAAGCCTTGCTTACCAAGGAGCTTGTGCTCCACAGCATTGCGCAGGGACTGGTGCCGGAAGTACAGGACCCCACTCGGCTTCTCCTGGACCCAGTGTTTGGTGGCGTTGCGGAAGGCAGCCCAGTGCAGTGTGGTCACTTTGTAATGATTCCTGTAGCCCAGCATGTCCAGAAGCTGGAGTAGCTCATCCTCGGTCAGCCCATAGTGCGCGACACACAGTAAGCACAGAGCGTCGGCCACCCAGCCCTCCAGCCCTGCATGGAAAACATGATAGTGACAAAAATAAGAGCTAACATGAACCAGATATCATTCTAAATGTTTTATATGATTAAACAATTTATTTCTTTCAGTATTTATAAGTAAACACTGTAACTGCCCCAGTCTTACAAATGAGGAGAGTGGAGCGCAGAGAAGTTAAATAACTTACCTAAGGTCAAACTGCAGTAAATGCAGAACTGGGATTTGAACCCAGACAGCCTAGCTCCACAGCCCACACTGTTAGCCATTAAGTTACCGTCCATATTGTCACAACAAATTCATCCAGAGCTATGGCCACACTCTGGCAAGCTTGCCGATTATTACACTGAACATTTCTGCTGCATAGTCTTTTCAAATACCTAATTTGCATTTAGGTATGGGTGGCTTTGTGTGTGATCGTTCTCCTGCTGCACATCATAGACACCACTTGGGCCAGCTCTTTACTACTCACCTGACCCCTCTTAGATTTCCCACCACAGCTGGGTTTCCTGCTGGCTCCGTGATTAACCAACTATATAAAAAGATCCTTCAGACCATCAGGGAAATGACAACACAGCCTACCATTCTAAATTTATATCCTGTGCTAGGACTGGAGGACGAGCCCAAATTACCTGCTATCTTTAAACACAGGCAGAGCTGTCCTGCCCCAGCTGTACACGGGTCCCCTGAGGTGGATCTCAGCTTAACCAAGCTCTTCCTGTGCCTGTGGCTGAGGTCTCTGGGCCCCAACGGGGTGGCTGGGCTGGGCTGGGGGTGGAGCCGCCTCTGGGGGAAGGAGACCGGGGCTTTTCCTGCACAGTCCTGGAGGTGGAGAGTAGCACAGCCATGGGCCACTTTGCCTGAATGACTCTTCTAGGGGCACGGGGACCCTGTTTCCAACTCCTTGAAGGTGGAGGAGGGCACATTAATTTTGAAGTCAGTTTTCTTTACATAAATGCAAACTCCAGAGTGAAAAATGGGGCAGGACAACATGTAGTATAAATCCATGTGGCTTTCCTTCCAGGGATTCTCCACTTCCTTCTCTTCACCCCCATTTCCCCATCCCTGCTCCATTCCAATCCACTGCCTTTAAGAGAAGACTGTTACGGCAGAAACAAAGAGAGAAAAGCTCAAGCTTCAAAATAGACATTTGAAACTCAGCACAGAGACAATGGCTTGAAAGAACAAACTTCGATTCTCAAAAGCCTGATTGTTGAATGTCATAAAATAAATTCCCGACCAACTCATGGGATACATTTTTTTACCATAAACAACAGACTCAGACAATTACAGGATGGTCGGAAGAAGACTTTTTTCCCCACCCAGGAAGAAAGGAAATTTTGCTGAACTGAGAATGGTATAAAAGAGTTAGAGAAGAGAACAAGATTCAAGAAAAGCACAGAATTTGGCTAAAGAGAGGGGCCCCCTCAGGTAGGATGAGAAACTGAGTCACCAGGTGGCAGCAAAGATCGTGCAACCTGAGAACAAATAAGAACTTGGGCATCCTAGAGGAAGCCAAAAATGGAGAGACATCAATATCCATGGACCAGACAGGCATGGATTGTAATCCCAGCACTTTGAGAAGCCAAAGAGGGAGGATTGATTGAGGCGAAGTGTTTGAGACCAGCCTAAGCAACAGAGCAAGACCCTATCTCTACAAAAAAGAATAATAAAAAATAAAATAGGCCAGGGGAGGTGGCTCACGCCTGTAATCCTAGCTCTCTGGGAGGCTGAGGCGGGCGGATTGCTCAAGGTCAGGAGTTCGAAACCAGCCTGAGTAAGAGCGAGACCCTGTCTCTACTATAAATAGAAAGAAATTAATTGGCCAACTAATATATATAGAAAAAATTAGCCAGGCATGGTGGCACATGCCTGTAGTCCCAGCTACTAAGGAGGCTGAGGCAGAAGGATCGCTTGAGCCCAGGAGTTTGAGGTTGCTGTGAGCTAGGCTGACGCCGGGAGTGAGACTCTGTCTCAAAAAAAAAATAATAAAATAAAATAAAATAAAATAAATATCTATGGACCTCAGGGACAGATGACAATGAAGGACACCCAGCACTCAGGGCCTCATCTCTAAGTGCAACCCAATGGAGACATGGGAAAGACACAAATCCCCACTTGACTAAAAAATCCTGAGTTGACAGAATTAACCTGAATTGACTGAATTAGTTTTCTTTTTTTTTTTTTTTGAGACAGAGTCTTGCTTTGTTGCCCAAGCTAGAGTGAGTGCCGTGGCATCAGCCTATCTCACAGCAACCTTAAACTCCTGGGCTCAAGCAATCCTCCTGCCTCAGCCTCCTGAGTAGCTGGGACTACAGGCATGCACCACCATGCCCGGCTAATTTTTTCTATATATATTAGTTGGCCAATTAATTTCTTTCTATTTATAGTAGAGACGGGGTCTCGCTCTTACTCAGGCTGGTTTCGAACTCCTGACCTCGAGCAATCTGCCCACCTCGGCCTCCCAAAGTGCTAGGATTACAAGCGTGAGCCACCACGCCCGGCCTGAATTAGTTTTCTGCCATCAGTAGCACTATAGAGTCAAAAGAGAGATGAAATTGAGTTATATATAGGTCCATTTCTTAGATTCCTGAAAAATGTGAACAGACATGTGTGTCTAACACGGTTCTTCAGTCAATACACAGAGCTCTCTAGGTAGAGTTGCCAAATTTAGCACATTAAAATACAGGACACTCTGCTAAGTTTGAATTTCAGATAAACAACTAATTAATTTTTAGTATGAATATGCCCCATGCAATATTTGGGATACACATATTGAGAATTATTTGTTGTTTATCTGCAATTCAAATAGTATTTAGTATAAGTATGGCCCATACAATAACTAGGACATAATTCTACTAAAAGATTATTTGTTATTTATCTGAAATTCAAGTTTAACTGGGCATCCTGTGTTTCCTACGACAGCTCTACCCCTAGAGCCTCCTGCCCCGGGTGGGAGTCCACCACACCACACCCTGTAGACTCCCACCAAGCTGTCAGTACTGGCCAAGACCTACCTTCCGCCGAAGACACAGTTCCAGAATTTGCCTTTTCTGGCTTAAGAGTCCAACTATAGTCTTCAATCCAGCGTTTCAGGATCAATTCCCAGAGCTCCTGAATAGAGACCAACTCCAAATACTCCCTCATACACTGAAACTCATTTCGGTAGATCCTGCATTCTTTCCATTCATTGGCTAGGATTGTGAGTTTTAAAGGATTCAGGTTTGGTTTCTTCCTTAAAGCTTGTCTGCTCTGTTGGAACCAGTCTGTGCTGGAAATGGAAAGATGCTGTCTAACGATGTTTATTTTTGTTTCTTCATCTCCCGGGCTAATGAAATCCACCATCCTCACATCTGGGCGGGCGCACAGCGACCTGTAGGACAGGCTGGAGGAGACAGTGCTCATGATAAATTTGCAATGAGGAGAGAGTGAGCGCGGCAGCCAGGAAAAATCTTTTGCCTAATGGAGAGATTCAAAGACATTTGAAAATTTTGAAGACTTTAAAATTGCTTTACTGATGGTTTTCAGGCTTAGTGTAGGTGGAATATAGAGGATAAGTAGTAACTTCAATAGTAAGCATTACGGTGGTAAGAAAATACCAATTCACACTCAACAGAACCATATTTGACTGACTTGTCTATCTATTGTGAATTTGATCATATAAATGTGAACTCCTAAAAAGAGTGTTCCTATGAGCAAGTAACTTAATGAAAACACATACTTCTGAAAAATGACCTACAGTGATCACCAGAGGAGATGTAAACCAGTGCAAATGGAACCATTCAGTTGAAAAATAAGACATTATTTTATGCTGAAAATTTGTCACTTTGTGCAACAATATGATCATGAGCTAAATGATTTTATTCGGGGATAAAATATATACCTAATAAGATCCTTTCTCAATGCCTTTAACAGCCTTTCCTGCCCCTCTTTGCCTAATATTAATAATAGCAACTGTCACATACTGTGTAGGCTTACTCTAAGCCAGGAATCATGTTGAGTATGTCTGCAAGTACTAACTATTAATATATTATGGTTTTTGTTTTCTGTATCTTAGAATAGTTTGACATCTCTCAGGACCTTACAGACCCAGAGAAAGACTGCCCTTCCCAAGGCTAGCTAACTGCTGGGCATGGTGGACAGCTTGATTAGAACATGCCTTTCTTGTGCAGACGGGCCAATCCCAGGCTGTGCCCCAACCCATCTTCTTATCTATCTCACACACCAAGCTAATGTTTCCTCTGCCCTAAATCAACCCAGGGCCAGGTACCAGAAAATTAGGGGCAGCCTCCATGCCCTAAAGCTCACCAGAATTATTTAAACTATCCCATCCTGTTTCACCCACCCTGCCGGGCCTTTTCTGCAGAAACTCCAATAAAGCTCTGACCTCGGTTTCCCCTTGCTCCTGTCTTCTGCCTTCTAGCCACCCTGGTACTTCCCCTGGATCCCTGCATGGCATGTCCCCTTCTCTCAGGAATGTAAGTAATAAATTATCTTTTCAATGGCATTAGCCTTTCCATGTGGTTGCCCAACCATACCTCTGTAAATTAAATCATGGGTATAATTTTAATACACTAACTCATTCAATCCTCCTAACAACCCTCTAGAAGGGCAGAGGAGGAAATGGAAGTATACAGGAACTAAATATCTCATCTCATTCATTCTGCTAGTAATCGGCAGAGCTGGGATTTGAACCAAGGATCTGGCTCCATAGCAGGCTCCTAAGCACTGTGATGACCTGCTTCAGGCAACTGCCTGGCCAGTCCCTTCTCCTGCAGAGCTCCGCCTCAGGCCCTTCGTCTAGGAAGCCACCCCTGAAATCCAAGTCCCTTCATTAGAGACTCCCACAACACGATATGCAGCCCTCATTGCAGCTGTAATTTTACACTTATTTTGAGTGATAAGATTTCATTAATGTCTGCCATTCCCCACTAGAGTGAAATCTCCATTTCTTGGCAGGGACCGTGTCTGCCTTTGCTCATAATGCTCTGTCAACAGTAAGTGCTCAATAATTATTTGTTGAATGTACTATGGTCGTCACGTACTAAATCAAAAAGCAGGTTATAAAACAATATGGTCTGCAACTTGATTTACATAAACATGTATATGTATATATAGACATCCATAGGAAAAGGGCTATAAACTAACAAAATGGTTAAGACTGTGAGTATATTTAATTTTTATTTTCTTCTTTTTTATCATATTTCCTATAAGAAACATATATTACTTACATAATTTATTGATTACATATATTTTTAAGTATATGTACTTCCAAAAGTAATGACCAGTACTAAGAAATAGTGGAGGCTCCATTGATCCAATATTATTTCGAACAGGAGAAAAGCTAAAGATGGCAACCAGTAAATGGAATTTGGTATGTGAAAAATCGGTGTAGATGAGATAGATCAAACTATAAAGCATAAAGAACATAGTAGGGGCCCAATAAGACTGATCAAAATATAAAATAGGGGCCAGGCATGTTGGCTCATGCCTGTAATCCCAGCACTTTGGGAGGCCAAGGCAGGAGGATCATTTGAGGCCAGGAGTTCAGGACTAGCCTGGGCAACATAGTGAGACCTCATCTCTACAAAAAATTAAAAAATAGCCAGGCATGGTGGAGCATGCCTATAGTCCCAGCTACCCCAGAGCCTGAGGCAGGAGGTTTACTTGAACCCAGGAGTTCAAGGCTGCTGTGAGCTATGATTGTGCCATGGCACTCCAGCCTGGGCAACAGAGTGACAGCCTGTCCTAAAAAAAAAAAACTAAAAGTATAAAATAATGGGCAGGACAGATCCATGAGACCCATACAGGAGGAAAGACCACAGTTTCTGGAACCAGACTACCCATGTCTGAATTCTGAGTCCACCACTTATCTTAGGACCTTAGACAAGCCACCTAAACATCTCTGTGCTTAGTCCCCTCTGTGTAAATAGGGATGATGAGTACCATCTCTTCTTCTTGTGGTTGTTACAATGGTGCCTGGCCCATTGTAAATGCATTATATAAGTATTTGTTCAACAAAATACATAGTAATAACTAAAAGTGATGTAGGTTATAGCCAGAGATAAGTGATGCAATCAAAAAGTGTTATGTACATCCTAAATAACAGAGTTTTCTTTTTACAGAATCATAATGAAATTGGGGTGATTTTAAAAAGTTGTTACCTTCTGACCTGAAATCCCATAAATGCCAATCAATTCTTCAATTCCATCTAGTACAAGTATACATGGCTTTAAACTGATAGAAGCAATGAACACTTCTACAAGAAGTGAAAAGACCAAGACATTTGAGTCTTCGTTAAGAATATCCGTTTCAAGCTGAGTACCTACGGCATAGAAATTTGCTCAAATTAGGTGAAAATGTTTCCATCATCGCTAAAATATGTTAATGGGCTGAGGAGGCAGAAGAGGTTGGGAAAAACAAGTGCTACTCACAGCTGTATAGATGATGCATACATGTCTACATGTGATTAGCACCCTCATTATATTCAACTCAAAGGGGATAATGATATTTACCACCAGCTGTCTCCAGTACATTTTCAGGATTTTATATAAAAAATGTTTTTGTATAATCAAAAACATTACTCTCATTTTCCAGGGGTCACAGCCACCACCCTGGGCTCCTCCAGTAATGCACACATGCAAGCAGCTGTCACCTACTGCCTAGTCTATCTGGTCCTAGCCCATTTAAACCTTATGGAAACAATCCTAAGTTCCTTGCCCATCATATTAGACCCCAGACCCTGCATTCTGGACATTACAAGTTCTTAGGGAGAACTAAGCTATGAACCAGCAAAAGGACAAAAGAAGCAATTTGAGAGGACTAATTTTCAGATTGTGATTAAGTGACCTGGGAGCAGCAACCCCAAATTGTAATCACCTACTTAATATCCTAACATCACTCACATAATATCCTAAAATCATTCACCTAATATCCTAAAAGCATTTTACTACATACAACTTCTGTCTTGCTTTTATTTTTCAAAAGCAATATTTTATTCAGGCACATCAGGGTCTAGAAAATCAAGTCACGTGTAGAAGCTTTAACGGATTAAGTCTCTCAGATACACTGAGATGCTGCTAGAGTCACTGAGTAATGTTTAGCAAATATTTATTGGTTGCCTGTTCCATGCCAATGTTCTGTGCTAGCTGCCAAGAGGAGAAAACAGGGCCTGTGACATAAAGTCAACCATCTAAGGCAATGGAAATGAATTCTGTACACAAATAACCACATTTTAAGGCAGGATATGAGTCTTAATTAAGTTTAATGCATCATCATCCTTTGAGGTTTTTTTTAAAAAAATCTTTAAAATTATGGACACTGCTGAAATTTCAGACCCTGAATGACAGAATTTTAGGGCAGAGAGGGTTCTTAGAAATCATCTAGTCTAGTCCAAACATCTCATTTTGTAGATGAGGAAACTGAGGCCTGGCAAGGCGAAGGGACATGAACACACAGATCATCAGGAGCTTTTAAAACACTTATTTTTCTAATAATTTGTTTTCAAGCTGTGAAACCACCACTTCGTGGTGTGAATGGCTCGTCAGCAGTCACTGCAGAGCCACAGACGCACGGACTGTCTGCCTCTTCCCCAAAGCTGGCATCAGGGCTAAGTGACAAAGCGGATTGAATGAACCTCAAGAAATACCGCCTGACAATCATTAAGTGTAGCATCACTAATATAATCAGCAAAAATATAATCCTAGGCAAAAAAAAATACATATATACTCAGTGATGATGCTTATGGAAGTATATATGTTTGATGTTTTAAAAATCACACCTTGAGTGATTATAATTATTTTTCCTCAAAATGATGTTGAAGATAAAGTCAGCATTACTGGTATTGGAAAATATTCCTAAACATTTCTCTTTATTCTGGCAGGACCAATCTGTGTCTACTAAATGGCAATGGCCCATTGCCTAATTTAAATGGTAATATCTCAAGTGTTTAAAGACCCACTCGATGACTTGGGCATTGATGAACTCATGCACTTTTTATCAGTGCTGTCTCTCCTCACTCAAGATAGATTTGTTGAGACGCTTCTACGTCTGTGCCAGGCACTGGGTATGACCATACCCAGTAAAATAGACATGATCCCTGCACTCACAGAACTCATACAAGAAGACAACAATAAAACATGTAATGACCAGTCTATTTGTAAGTTACCTAAGACAGAGGTCCTCAACCTTTTTGACACCAGGGACCGGTTTCCTGTAAGTTGATTTTTCCACGGACAGAGGTTGGGAGGGTTTGGGGACAATTCAAGCAAATTTTGTTTATTGTGCAGTCAAACCTCTCTGCTAATGACAATCTGTATCTGCAGCCGCTCCCCAGCACTAGCATCACCGCCTCAGCTCCAGCTCAGACCATCAGGCATTAGATTCTCACAAGGAACACACGACCTAGATCCCTCGCATGCACCATTTATGGTCGGGTTCACACTCCTATGAGAATCCAATGCCACTGCTGATCTGACAGGCGGCAGAGCTTACATCATCTGACGGTGATGCAGGCGATGAGGAGGGCTGTACATACAGATGAAGTTCACCCACTGCTCGCCTGCTGCTATGCAGCTGGGCTCCTAACAGGCCACAGGCTGGTACTGGTCGAGGCCTAGGGGTTGGGAACCACATACCTAAGAGACCAAGGGAGGTAAGCACACAGTATTTGGAAGGAGACACACAGTAAAACTAAAATGCAATTGGACCAGGGCTATATTTGCTGCCTGGTCAAAGTTAGGGGTGAAGGAGAGAGGTACTCATCAGCTCTTCTTATGGAAAGGGCAACTTTTGAAGGCAGCCTTAAAGGGTGAGAAGGGGCCAGGCACAGTGGCTCATACCTATAATCCTAGCACTCTGGGATGCCACAGCAGGAGAGTTGCTTGAGCTCAGGAGTTTGAGGCCAGCCTGAACAAAAGTAAGACCCCATCTTTAATAAAAATAGATAAAATTAGCCAGGCATGGTGGCGCATGCCTGTAGTCCCAGCTACTGGGGAGGCTGAAGCAGGAGGATCGTTTGACTCCATGAGTTTGAGGCTGCTGTGAGCCATGAGCCACTGCACTCTAGCTGGGGCCATGGAGTAAGATTCTATCCCCCCACCCCCACCCCCCACCCCAAAAAAGGAGAAGAGAAGAATTTCACTGCCCTGGGAAGAGGGAGGGGCATTTCAGGAGAAGGGAACTAAACAGACAAAGACAAGGAGGGATGAAAGGGATGGGTGTGCTTCAAGGAGACCCAACGTGTGGGGCAAGGGACAAGAGACCAGGCTGAGAAGTCAGCCCTGCCAAGGATTTCTGCCCAGTTCACATCACCAATGATTTCTGCCCATTCCACATCACCAACTTGAATGTAGACTCTCCTTATATCCGATGCTGGGAGGGAACCCTGATAGAAATCATCCAAAACACTGAAATGTTCCTCTGTTGGCTTAAGGAGGCAAGACCGTGCAGTAACGACTGCAACTCCACCTGGGTTTGCTCTCCCTGCCCTGCCCATGTATAGCAGTGTGACCCTGCCCTTCGGAGCCTGTTTCCCTATCTGGGATGATAATGCTATGGATGAATCAATCGTTGAGAGCATTAAATGAGATACTGATAAAACCCTCAGGGCCATGCCTGACACTCAGAAAGCCATCAATAAACGGAACTTATTGTTACTCAGCGTTGCCACCAGGTTCCGTGGGATAACATGGAGAGGAAGCATGCAAATGAGAGAGTCAGCGACTCTTCTCTGACCTGCGAAGCGTGTCTTCTGTGACACTAGCTGCCTGCAAGGCAGGCAAAGGGCGTGGGAGTCAGAGAGCTGGCTACAGGCAGCTGTTGTACACAGGTCCCTTCATTCTGGCAAGCAGGAGTCGAGAACAGAGGAGCAAAAATGTGAGCGTCACAGGGAGGTGTTTTGGGGTCCCCAGTAGGGAGGGTCCCTGGCTCACAGCCCACACAGCAGCTGCAGCTGCAGACAGCTGAGGCAACAGGAAAATGCTCTCTGCAGAGAAGCTGAAGCCGCTCCGCTCTGAGCACCTGGCCTCTGCGGCTGCACCGTTCTCAGCGGCAGCTCCTCCCCCCTGCCCACAGCCAGCTCGCCAGGTGGAACCCAAGCTATGCAACCCTGGGGCCAGCCTTCCACCCTCACCCTCTGGCCTCTCTGGGCTGCAGAGGTGACAGCTGCAAACGCTTGTAGGGCAGTCCTTCCTCTCCTTAATCCAGCTAAGGAATAGGACGGTCCTGTGTCCCCCAACAGCCCCTACTCCCTGCTTCTCTCTCTAGCACAAATGGCAGCAGTGTGGCCAGGCGCCACTTTACATTCTTTACACGTATTATCTTTAATCTTCATGCAGCTTCATGAGGTAGGTACTAATGAATCCCATCCTCATGTTACAGATGAGAAATTGGGGCACAGAGAGCTTAAGTAAACTGCCCAAGGTCACACAGCTAGCAAGTAGCAGAGCCAGAATTGTGGGCCAAGTCCAGAACCACAGCGCTTCCCTTCAACCTCCCACTGTTAATAGAGAAGGGTGTTCTTTCAGGGATAGAAGGTGTCAAGTATTCCTAAACTGTTCCTGAATTTATCCTACTGTCATCAGCCTGAAGATGTGTTTGCTTGAAAGATAGCAGCTGTTTTTATTAGGAGCTTTCTGCACCCAAAACCACACTCATTAAAATAATAATTCACTTTGGGAATAAAATCATAATTGGGCATGAACAACTGAGTTTACATCATCAGCCTGGCCAGACCGAGCACCCTTGGGATGTGCCAGAATAGGATTAGTCATTGTATAGACACAGTCACACCTGCTTCTACTGATTTTGATTTTACCCACTTCATATGCCCTGAGAACTACACCCCTGTGTACTCACAGACACCCACTACACGCACAGAAAAGAGATGCGAGAACCTGTCCCCTCATACAGAGATGACATACATCCATCAAAACTCACCCAGGGGCACCCACATACTCACTCAAAGCCCAGAGGCACATGTGGGTACGGGCCCCTGCATGAGAAGAGGTGGACTCCCACAAGCAGGCAAAGTCAGACGCAAACATGTAAATACACAGCAGCATATGGATCACTAACAATCGCTAATATTGATCAGTGCTTACTAGATGCCAAGCACTAAGCTCAGGGCCTTTGTCTTTCATACATCGTCATAGTTAATCCTCTCAACTACATGTAGTACTCTTAAAAAATTATTATGCACATTTTACATAGAGGAAATTTGAATCACAGAGGGCTAAAATAACTAAGGTCACAAGCTAATAGGTAGGGGCACAAGGTTTGTATGCAGGTGACCAGCTCCCCAACCACTCCTGGCACAGTCAGGCACGATGCAAATCCCACATGACTGGTAACGTGCACTGGTGCACACCCTGCAACTTAAATATCATGTGTCCAAGGCAGAACACTTGATTTCTCTCAAAACCTACTTCCTCTCCCACATCCCACCAATGTTGGCCCATCTCAGTCAACAGCCCTCCCCACCTGTCTAGTTTCCTAAAGCCTAAAGCTAGGAGTTCTCCTCAATTCCTCCCTTTTCTTCAACTTGCATGTTCCATTTCTCAGCAAATCCTCAATTGCCCCAAAGTCCTCCACATCCACTGCTACTGTCCTCTCCAATCCACCATCACCTTTTGCACGGACCATTGCAGTAGCCTCTAACAAGTGTCCCTGCCTCATGCTTGTGTCCCTACATCCATTTCCCACACATCAGACCGATTTTGATCATTTTAAAATAATCAAATCGTGGCCGGGCGCGGTGGCTCACGCCTGTAATCCTAGCACTCTGGGAGGCCGAGGCGGGCGGATTGCTCAAGGTCAGGAGTTCAAAATCAGCCTGAGTAAGAGCAAGACCCCGTCTCTACTATAAATAGAAAGAAATTAATTGGCCAACTAACATATATATAGAAAAAATGAGCCGGGCATGGTGGCGCATGCCTGTAGTCCCAGCTACTCGGGAGGCTGAGGCAGCAGGATTGCTTAAGCCCAGGAGTTTGAGGTTGCTGCAAGCTAGGCTGATACCACGGCACTCACTCTAGCCTGGGCAACAAAGTAAGACTCTGTCTCAAAAAAAATAAAATAAAATAAAATAAAATAAAATAAAATAAAATAAAATAAAATAAAATAAAATAAAATCATGTCACTCTCCTGCTTAGAACCCTCCACTGGCCTCCTATTGCATTTAATAGAATCCAAACCTAATATTCTGGTCTATGAACTCAGATAAGAAGTGGCCTAGCCTTCTCCTGCTTCATCTGGTGGGCCTCCCCCTGCAGTCCCCCACTGTCTGGCCTCACTGGCCCTCTTTTCCTTTCTAATTTATTCAACTCTGTTTCCAGCTGTGGAGCTGTATTACCTTAGCTGTTGGCTTTGCCGAAAATGTTCTTTCTTCTGGTCTCCACGTGGTTGGCTCCTTGCCAATGAGATCTCCCCACAGAGCGTGGCAAAAAGGATGGCTCCTGTCCCACAGAGGTTATGCTCCCCCTTCCTTAGAGTGTGGTTAGCTTTCTGTCCCCACTCATCTCCTGGTATAGCCATGTGGTCCCAGTGTGGCCAAGTGCTTGCCAAAAGAATGGGCCAAGACTTTTAAGGAACAAGTGTGCCTTTTCCACTCTTGCCCCCTTCCTCTAGCCAAAACCAGAGAACTCTGAGGCTGTAGGACTCTGACACAGCCTCAAGATGAAAAGAACCTGTGTCCCTAAGTCCCCACATGGAAGAAAGCAACTTGCTACCTGACTAGGGACCCTATGTCAGACTGTTACATGAGTAAAAGATGAGCTTCTATTGGAGAAGCCACTGAAATGGGATTTAGTTGATATAGCAGCTAGAGTTACCCTAACTAATACAGACACATAGTCCCTGCCTACTCAAATAGCCACCCCATCACCTTATCACATCACTCTGCATGGCAATTATCATTATTGGATGTTTATTTGTTTGTTATCTGCCTTTCTCAACTAGAACAGGGTATCGATAAGCCAGTTCCTGTGCACACACTGCCTACCTTCTATGCCTTTTCTTTATAGAAGTTCCCACCATCCTCCCCTCCCCAGTAACGGGAAAACTACATGAAGGACTTTTGCCCATTTTGTGCACTGCTGTATCCCCACTGCCTGGAATAGTGCCCCGGCACATAAAGGTTCTCAATTAATATATGGTAAAAGAAGAAAGAAAGAAAAGAAAGAGAAGGGAGGGAGGGAGGGAGGGAGGGAGGGAGGAAGGGGGAAGGAAGGAAGGAAGGAAGGAAGGAAGGAAGGAAGGAAGGAAGGAAGGAAACAAGAGAGGAAGAGAGGAGGAAGAGAGAGAGAGTGAAAAAAAGAAAAGAAAAGAAGAGACAGGAGGGAGGGAAGGAAGGAGAGAGTGGGTTTATCTGTGTGAGGGGAAGAGGTGGGGAGTATGTAAGTGAGAGAACATGGAGTTGAGATCAGAACAAGAAAACAATGGCCACATGAGCAGGAGAGAGAGGCATTCCTTTCTAACCCACCAGACATTTTCTGAATGAATGGGGAAGTTGAATTCTGTTACCGTAGTTCCTGTACTGTAATTCCCTGATGAAGTAATGGATCACAGACATGATGTCACTGCTTTCGCAGGTGCTTCCCACGAAGTGAGGGATCATCAACATGCTCGGATATTTATATTTGAAATAATCCACCCAGCTGGCAATCAGAGTGGACTTCCCACAACCACGTTCACCAGACAAGAGCAAAATAGACTTGTAAGCTGGAAGAGAATTTACTCTGAAAAATAAAGGAGTGAAATATAATCAAGAATATTTACCAAGGAAGGAAGGAAGGCTGGCAGGTATGGAGAGAGAATGGGAGGGAGGGTGAGAGAGAGGGAGGAAGTGTAGGAGAGAGGAATGAAGGAAGAGAAAATTTCCCTGCATACATTTTGCCTCTAGCTCTAGTCTCAATTTTGGCCTCAATTGGCTTCAGTTATTCACCCTCTGGGTTTTTGCTTGGTCCTATGTAAAATTAGAAGAGTAGGCAGTAACCTTGGAAGGCCTTTCCAGCTACACAGATGCTAGGGTTGTCCAATAAGAACCTAAGGTTAGGCAGAGGGTCCAAGGCCTGGGTAGGAAAACTGTACCACACCCGTTCGCTGCCCTTATATCTGGACTGCTCTTTCCTTGCTTGGGTTACCACCACCACCAGACTGATCCATGGTTTAACATCATATTGAAACAGAATTAAAACTTGAGGCATTCATATGCCAAGAATTCCCATCAATTTGATGACTACAAAATTACAAGTTAAACTAAAAAAAAAAAAATCATCAGGTAATAACTTGCCAAGAAATAGCCCCTTCCTCTACCAGTGTGTGTTAGCTGGTAATACCACATAAATATGATTTCTTGGAACTGACAGGAGAATAACAGTAATGTAACTGGTCTTCTTGCTTTATTTTTTAGTGAAAAGCTTCTGGACAAGCAGAGGATTCTCAGGTTCATGAATATCACTACATATAGACTCTAGCCTTGAGCCTTACACAGTTATGACTCAATAAATATGTGTCTAGTGAATTTTCATTGATGTAAGTTCCATAAGGAGGACAGATACCGGGCTTACCTTATTCACTACTGGATATTTAGTGCCTAGCACAGCACCTGACCATAAACTGTTAAATGAGTGAATGAAATAAAATGAATTGAGATTCATCGAAGCAAGAGGATCAGCCTGAGAACGGATTAAAATGAAAAACCTAAAACAGTATCTTTAGAAGTTCCTTCATAAGAATTCCATCGCCATTAATATGACTTAGGAATCTATGCTCTATTGTGGAAATTATTTCACCAGCACATTTGAATGGCCGGTTTAAATTTTATGCTCTGCTTCCGCCTCTGCCCTCATTTACTCTATCCTCAACCAAGCAGTGAGAGTGAGCTCTTCAAAATATGTCATACAGTAGGTCATTGCTCTGCTCAAATGTAGTGAAAACCCAAGTCCCTACCATGACCTGTGAGACCAGACAAGACTCACACCGACCCAGTATCTCTCCGACCTCTGCTCCTCCCTGCATCTCTAACTTCCTTTGAGTTTCCTGGTCTCCCTGCTATTTCTCCAGCCTCAGGGCCTCTGTGCTTGCTATGACCTCTGTCTGGAATGCTCTTCCTATCCATATTTGCATAGCTTGCTCTCACACCTATTTTTAGTAGCAACCCAAATATCACGTTCTCAATGAGGGTTTCCCTCACCCTACCAGATGGTCTATTCCCTTTCAAAGTTTCATTTTGCTCCATAGCGCTTGAAGGCATCTAGCATACTACATATTTTACATATTTATTATGTTTATTGCCTGTCTCCACAATGCAAGCTCCATGGAGGCAGGGATTTTTGTCTCTTTTATTCATTGCCATATACCCTGTGTCTAGAACAGTTCTTGGCATCTAACAGATAAAATCAAGGAAGGAAAAAATGCAAATATGATGCATCAACATGATTAGGGCTAGAATCTTAAAGATTTCTTCTCAAGAACAAATAGAAAATGAAAACACTGAAAGCAATCTGCAGCTCCTTTCAAAGTGAGGTAAAAAAAAAAAAGAATGCTATTGATGCATATGATTGGTTATTAAAACAATGCTTTGAAACTTGAAAAGAACACTCCTTTTCTGTTGACCTTACACTCTATTCAGGAACTTATTGTACAGAGCATTGTTTCCAAATGGCAAAGCAAACAAAGCCCTGAATGTTTTCACATAGCTAATCTAAAAGGACTTATTTAATTGTTATATTTTTCTTGACTACAATACTTTGAGTTGTTCAATTGCAATAAAATTTATTAAACTTCTCACCCATTCTGAAATACTCAATTATAATTTAAATGAGAAATAATTCACATACCAAAAAATTCAGTTTTAAAGGATACAATTCAATAGTTTTTGTTACATTTACAAGGTTGTACAAACATTGTCACAATTTAATCCCAGAAGATTTTCATCACCCCAAATAAGAAACTCTGTACCCAATGATAGTGATTCTCCATTTCCCCACTACCCTCAGCCCCCAGGAGCCACTAACCAACTTCCTGTCTCTATAGATTTGCCTACTCAAACCCAACAATTTTAACACATGACCTATATGTTTCTCCCGTAGTCATAAAAATATCAACTGAGCACCATATTGCATTAACCAAACAAACTGCTTTCCTCTTGGTGTGGGTTCTCAGAACCCTAATAATGTTGGCAGTTCTGCGCCTGAGTGGACTAAACTGGTGGACACTGAGCCTGGGACAGCAGTGGTGGAGGACAGCCCTGAGCCACCACAGCCACTGAGGGTTTATTCCAAACCACAAAACTCTCACAGGATAAAGGAACTCCATGGTAAGAGCCAGAAGATGAGGGTGGAAGAAATAAAACTCTCCTAAGACCCTTCCCATTTCCAGGGATGACACTGGCAGGGCGACTAAGGCAACCTCAGCTTTCTTACTGCAGGCCTCAGTAAGGTGGCAAACAGGGTATGTCACCACCCAGGGTGGGAAAGGTACAGAAGTTTTATTGTAGAAGACACTAAATAAAACAATGAAGGAATGCACACATTGGATAAGATAACTCAACTCCTTACATACAAAGAATGATATGGCCCATATTGTTTTAGTAAATGCTGGCCTCAAATCTCCCATCCAAATACTATCCAGGCCCGACCCTGCTTAGCTTCTGAGATCAGACAAGATCAGGCATGTTCAGGGTGATATGACCACAGACAATATCTGAATGTAATTAATAATGAGCTGATGATATATATAGAAGCTTGTTGTAACTATACAATACTATGCAGATGTGTTATTTATATTTCCTAATCTAATTTCATCTCTTTAAAGTCATTCCATCATTCTTGGGAACTACTTAGACCAACTTTGATGTACGGGAGAAAAAAGAAGGCAGATTGATTCCCTGCCCTTGGGAATTTATAATGTGCTTGAGGACACTGGAAGAAAGTATGTGAAATACCAGAAAAGCTTTGCAAATGGACAGTGATATCTGATAAGGAAATTCTAACACAGGTGGCTTTTAGGGGGTTCTCTCTTGAAGAAAGAGATGAGCAGAGAGGAGGGTAAGTGAAGAAAGACATCCCAAATTTAAGGGATCACATTTACCAAAGTCAGGCTGTTTTGTGTGAGCCTAAAGAAAAGGCTTGGAATTTCTTGACTTCTTACCTGAGAACAGAATCTAAGCTGGAACCTGCTGCTGTATTGGTAAAATCAAGTTCCATATCCTTTAAGGCAAATCTTTCCAAGATTTCAAAGGTCCTATATGACTGCTTGGAAATAACAAACACTTCTTTGCACTTCTCTGTAAACTCTTCATGAAAGAAACGTTCAAAGCTGTGCTTGTAGTCTTGATGGTAAAAAAGATAAGTTTTAATATCTTATATTCATAGTTTCACATTTTCAATTGTATATGGTTATTTATTATAAATGCCCAGGACAGTATCTGCCTCTTATATTGATGTCACCTTCTTTCTATTTGGGCTCCATATTTCACAGTTCATTCCACATGTCAATGAAAGAAAACTATAGGCAAACCATTTAACCATCCTCACATTATTTACACATGGAATCCTACTTACAATTCCAAATTATTTTATGACCTCAAAATGACAAGGGTAAAACATTAGAGTTGCTATATACATTCTGTTGTTTTGATAAATTGTTAGCTAAGTATGAAGTTATCTAATTCAATCTTGTTGGGTATCGTTGGGTGTCTGTCCATGGCAGAGATTGGGGGAGAGGGGGATACTTTTAGGATAAGATGCTGGGGGTTGGATGCAGTGGTTCACACCTGCAATCCCAGCACTTTGGGAGGCCAAGGTGGGAGAATTGCTTGAGGCCAGGAGTTTGAGACCAGCCTAGGCAACATATTGAGATGCCCATCTCTAAAAAAAAAAAAATTAAAAAAAAAATTAGCCAGGGCAAGTGCCTATAATCCCAGCTACTTGGGAGACTGAGGCAGGAGGATCATTTGAGCCCAGGAGTTCGAGGCTGCAGTGAGCTATGATCAGGCCACTGCATTCCAGCCTGTGTGACAGAGTGAGACTTCGTCTCAAAAAAAACCCCCCGATGCCCCTAATAAAGATGACAACCATGCATAGGGTTGCAGCTCTCCCACTGGGCAAGTCCCTTAAACCCTCTGGTAAAATAAGAAGGAGGGCCAGATAATTGGATGATCTCTGGAGTTTCTGCTGGTTTCAATTTACTGCAATTCTAAACTCATTGCCTAATTAAAGTCAGGGTGTTCTAAACTGCCAAAATGCTTTGTTGCTCTGGAGACATCCATATTCCCCAAATTTTTTCTTTTTTTTTTTTTTTCTTTTTTTTTATGGGTAGAGGCTGTTATCAACATATGTAGGAAAAGGAACAGCAGATAAGTTAGCCTAGTAGGTTCCCAAGATACTCACCCTGTATCTTCATAGTTACTGGGCTGCCCCATGGTTCAGGTTAGAGCCAGAATAGACCTGGAGGACCTGCAGTCTGGCCAAGGTCAGCTTCATGTTTCAAGATCTTAGAATTTGGGATGACCTTACAGTCCAATAGGCCTCTTGTGCTAACCTTAAACTTCACCCACTATTCTCAGGTATCTTCAAGGACCTCAAAAGTACTTCTAAGGGTCAAGAGTATAAACTGATAGCTCTATGTTATCTCTTACATTAACAATCAGCTAGCCAAACGGCCTATTGCTACCGTAGCTGTGGACTTTGAGATTTTGGAGCTGAGTGATTAAAGAGTATTAAAGATCCAAAAGAAAAAGAATTTAGCACTTCCTTCTAAAGCTTTTTTTTTATAATCTATCCATTCTGTATCTTCTAATTCAGACATTTAGACCACATATATACATTCAAGCATAAAGTGTGAAATAAGCTAATCTTTCAACAATATCAAAAATAAAAGCCTAAGGAGAATACTATGAAGAAATAATCTGACCCTAACCTAAATACACAGAAAGGCTTGATTCCTGAACACATTAGTAAATATTAATCAATGGATGTGATTCAGATTGAGATTAATAAAAGAATATTAATATTAACCACATTTCTGACTTTAGCAAATTGTACATATTCTTCCAGGACCCATTTGGTATTATTCATTCTCATTAATTATTGTTACTCATTAATAATAATTACTCTGTGCCTAATATGTGCCAGCTGCTGTTTTTAGATGTTGTATTAATACATATACAACTACTCTCAAAGTAGTTAATGTTAATCCATTTTGCAGAAGGAAAGAAACTAAGGCTTACCAATGTTAAATAATTTGCTCTAGGTTACACAACTAGGAACCAAAAAATATAGAATCTGAGGATATGTATGTCAGATTCTAAAATTCAAAGCTTATAGTAAATATTTGGGATGTTTTTTGGCTGTCCAATATCAATTTACCCTACCCTAGTTTCAGGAACAGCCCTAGATTTTCATTTGAGATCCACCCATCACAACTCTCATTCATATTATTCCAGTGAGTCTAGCTCCACTTCTAGTTCCAGAGGATTAGCCAATCAGAGAATCACATTCTCTTGGCACCAGTGATTGAGTCGGATACAAACATATAGCCCAGTTCAGGCTAATCAGAGACAGAAGAACTCAATGCTAGGACCTGGAGCCACTTGACTTGAACCTGGAGCTGCTATAGCTGTCTTTCTCCATGACAGAGGACCCCAAGGAGCTAAGCCAACATCAATCAGGACAGCAGAGCAAAGCTGAGAAATAGTGAGAGACAAGGATCTGGTAACATCATTTCATTATTTCAGCCACTGGATGTAGGCTGAGCTGAACCAGACCTAATCCTGGGCATTGCAGTTATATAAGCAAATAAATTCTCTTTTTGCTGAAGCTAGTTTGAGTTACTTGCAACCAAAGGAGTTGTGACTGATAACGATCTTCTTTTCCAGGGTCCAAAATGATTTGGCTTGTAGGCAGAGTTTTGTTTGGCCAGCACATATACTGAATTCAAATGACTTTAGGTGGTCAACACTCCCTTGTTCACTGCAGATCCATCTGCTCACTCTCATGTTACAAGGACAATTGTCTGCCTGGTCCCCCAAAGCATTTCAGAGTGTACTATCTGCCACCATTTTGCATCCCCACATTAATTGGGCCCTTTCATCAGTGATTCATAACCTTTATTGAGTCATTAAGCCTTTTGAGAATCTACCCAAAGCCACAGGTCATTTTCCTATCCCCCAAAACACATATATGCATATGAACATTCTATTTTTCATATAATTTTCATATAATCTAATTTTCATATAATCATCACAGATCCCTCCTGAAGTCTGGTCTAGGGAAAAAATCCCTGCCATACTCTTCCCTTTTTAATCTGGTACATGTCCACAAACACTATTTCCAAAATTAAAGGTATTCCTTTCACTTAGAAGAAGCATTTCTCAAACTTGAATATGCAAATCTCCTGGTCACCTTATTAAAATGCAAATTTTAATTCAGTAGACCTAGAATGGGGACCAATATTCCACATTTTTAATAAGCTGCCAGGGGCCGGGCGCGGTGGCTCACGCCTGTAATCCTAGCACTCTGGGAGGCCGAGGCGGGCGGATTGTTCAAGGTCAGGAGTTCGAAACCAGCCTGAGCAAGAGCGAGACCCCGTCTCTACTATAAAAATAGAAAGAAATTAATTGGCCAACTAATATATATAGAAAAAATGAGCTGGGCATGGTGGCGCATGCCTGTAGTCCCAGCCACTCGGGAGACTGAGGCAGCAGGATCGCTTGAGCCCAGGAGTTTGAGGTTGCTGTGAGCTAGGCTGACACCATGGCACTCACTCTAGCCTGGGCAACAAAGTGAGACTCTGTCTCAAAATAAATAAATAAATAATCTGCCAGGAGCTGCTGAGGCCACCAGTCCAAGGATTACACTCTAATAGTAAAGGTGAAGGAGAGCAGGCATGGATTTTAGAGTCAAAGGGCCCCAGGTTCAAATCTTGAATTGGTTCCTCACTAGTTATGTAACACTGGTAACTCACTTAATTGCTATACAATAGTTTTCATTTGTTCATGGGCAAATTCAGAATTATAGTACCTACCTTGCAGGGCTAAACTTTGAGGATTAAATGTGATACATACACCAAGCACCAGACAATTAATAAAAGTTAATTATTGTCGCTTTAGCTCAGAATTTCTCACCCTCAACACTATTCACATTTTGAGCTAGATAATTCTTCATCGTAAGTGCTGTCCTGGGCACTGTAGGATGTTTACAGTATCCCTACCCTCTCCCCACTAGATGCTAGTAGCTCTCCCCCAATTGTGACAACCAAAAATGTCTTCAGACATGACCAAGTGTCCCTTGAGGGGGCAAAATTGGCTCTGTTTAAGAATTACTCCCTAGATCCACACATTAACTGCTAGATATTTTGAGTCTTCCCTGAGCTCCTTAACTTTCTAGATAATCTTCCACGACCCATTATTTACCCTTATTTTCAGTTTCAAAAATCTTCAAAATGGAGAAATATATGTTACATGTATACAATAATAATTTTAACTGCTTAAGGAATATTTCCAATTATTTAAAAACTCCTTTTACAAGGAAGACCTATAAAACATTAACCTTATGTTGATAATAAACTTAGCGATCTCTATATTTACTAACCTATATTTTCCATAATTAGAGTGGCAGGGTAAATTTTTTCTATCACAACCGACCAGTCCTTGAAAATCAGCTCACCCAACTCATGGAGATTTTTATAAAATCTCACCGGGAGCCCTTTACTAATAATCTTGGCCTTAAGCTTTCCGATCTTCAATTTTTCCTCATCATTCACTGTAGAACCTGAGGGCGGCCTCTCCTCCTTTTCCTCATCTAAAATCTTCAGCAGTGTGGCTTCAGTCCTAAAGTAAAAATACTGAAATTGAGACTCATTCATAAATGCTGCTTGAATGATCTCATACTCCGTCAGACTGCAGTTGGGATTCTCCAGGACCCAAGGATAACCGTTTCTTGCAGCAACATAGAGATTCTGTTCTAATTTGGATAAACTTGACAAGTCGGTTGCTTTGGAGAACATGAAAGGTGAGTAGACAGGGAGAAAGTCTCCATACGTTTGGCCCAGCATGCAGATGAAAAAGGGAAGGCAGCTGTTCACATAGTCGAGACAGAGCTTCAGATGCTGGGAGTGGAGACAAGAATACTGTCTAAACAGGTTGGTTAGTAGGGATTTGGGGGCCCCCAACGCTGACCAACTCAGGTCCACAGCTTTGAAATAGGTGCCCCGGGAATTGCAGAGTTCATTAAGCTGGGGGAAGATGTTGTTTGCCAGAAAGTCTCTCTCTTCTTGAAAATCATTCAGAGTCGAGCAGATGTAAGGCTGAATGGGTTTGTGGGCCTTTAAAATGGCTTGGGCATACATTGCTACATTCTTGTTTGTCTTCTGGCTCATTTCAACTTGCTCAGGGATGACAACACACTTAAAATATGACAATTTTCATCCTGGTGCAGCCACTGTCCTCCACTATTTCTAAGTCTTCCTACTATTGATGTTTGCTATGAACAGATGGAAATCTTGTTGCCAAATTGTTTCTTATTGAAACTGGAAGGTGAGAGATGCCAACCAATGGATGGATCAAAGTTGAAAAACAATCTAGTTTAAGTTAAAACTGAAAAGGAAAAGACACATTCATTTTAGGATTACAGGCAGTTCATGTCTCCCCTGCTCTCACAAAGCTTTTCGCTGGAGAACTGAGAACCACGAGGTGTGTGGGCACTGAATGTCAGGACTCCTCTCTGTCTCCCATTCCACCTTCCCAGTGTCCCTGCAGCCAGCTGCTACTTCTGTCTCCCGTGAATTTGGAAATTATGCAAGGGCACTTGTGCGAAAAGGAAAACAAGTCCACAAAAGGAGCCTAATGTCTTTAGGAGCAGAACAAGCCAAGAAAGACCTGTGATTTTGACCAGAAGCAAGAATGCAAGCAGGTATGAAGTTGAACTCAGGACAAGAGGAACAAATCAAAGTATCAGAAGGCCCAAGACCAGGAATGCAGCTGACAGATAAGAGGCAGGGAAGTCTGGGTCTAAGAACCTGATGGAGTTCAGTGATTTTTTTTTTTTTTTTAATCTTAGATTGTGCAGGCTCATACAACATTCCACTCATCACCATGTGCTGGGAATTAAATTCCACTGAGCTAATGGAAAAACACACACCCTCTAACAATGACATAGCTATGCTTGCAAGAGCTCAGAAAAAAAAAATTATGGAAATAACCTAGTTTTCTGAGCTTTTTCTTGAAACAACTCATTTCCATAGCAAATGTTGCTTTTTTGGTTTTGTTACTTTCACTTGTGAAAAATATATCATGTTATCAAGTAGTCTTTTTTTTTTTTATATTCTTATTAATCTGAAATGATGTTAACAGGATCAAGTAGTCTAAAGCAATGTTTCATCAAGATCACCCAACAACAATGCAGTTCCTTTTTAGAAAGCATTAACCCTTTTGCATTGAATTGTCCAATAATCCTATGATAGATAAGATTATTACCCTACTTTACAGATAGGATAATTAATGTCCAGTCATTTAGCTAGTAAGTAGAGAGCCAGGATCTAAACACAGGTCGGTCTGACTCTAGGACACATACAATATAATGCCTTCATGTTATAAAAGTAAGACCCTAGGTTATGAAGATACCATAAGTGGGTAGGAAATACCTATCCAATAAACGGTACTGTAATAAATAGGTGGCAATTTAGAAAAAAAAATGTAAACCACAATCTCACACTATTTTACAAAAAAAAAAATTCTAAAAGCAGAATAGAACCCGGGGAGAGAGGTGTTAATTAATAGACTTCTCACTTGTCATATAGGAGGCTTGAGATAGATTACTGGCCCTTGCAAATATTTACCTTCTCCTATTCCCCTGTGATCAGAGGTCATTCCTATTTTATTCACCACCACGTCCCCAACACCTAGTATACTGATGGGCTCAGAGTAGGTTCTAGGGAAATACTTGTTGAATGAATGAATTTAATATGATTTTTTAAATGAAAAGAAAACATAAATATTTAGCAAACCTGAAGTGGACTCCCAAAACTTATAAGCTATAAAAGAAATCGCAAAAGATGGACAGATGAAATTACATTTTAAGAAAGACTTAAAAAGTAAACAATGGACTGTAATAATATTTGCCACAGATTTTCTCTTTATTCTAAGAAAAATAGTAACACCCCAGTAAAGATATAAGCAAAAGATACAAATAGACAAAAAAGAAAAACAATATAAATTCTTATATAAAATATAAAAAAAAATATTCAACTTTTCTAGAATTTAAGGAAATTTAAAAATAAGCAATGAGCAATGATTTTTTAAAAAAATCATAGTTATCAAAATATTGATGAAACTTATATCTCATATATAACTATGGAATTGAAAGTTGGTAATCTTGGAAAGCTATTTGGGAATATATTTCAAAATATGTTAAAGCATATATAATCTTTGACTCAATGATTCTACTTCCTGGGAATCACTCCCAAGGAATTAATCCAAATAGTGGAAAACTGTAGATATTATGATGTTCATTGCATGTTTATTAGAGAAAAAAACAATAAGAGAAATAAAGCAAACTAAATGGTCTTTGCTAAAGGAATAACTAACAAGAGTAAAAGTATAGCCACTCATAGCAGGTTATGCATCTATTAAAAAGACAGTTTTAGATTTCTGCATCCAGCCATGATAGATTAAACAGGGACAACTTACCTACCCTCTGCAAAAAATTAGAAAACTGGACAAAATATATGAAATAGCTATTTTCAGACAGCAGACATCGGGCAGTACAGGAGTATGATCCCTGGGAGAAGGGAAACAAATGAGATATACCTATTGATCATTCCATCTTTCAGCTTAGGGCACATCCCAGATGATGCTGCCCTTAGAGATCCCGCTAAGAGGGGATCCAGAGTAGAGCACAGTAAGTACATCTTGCTGTTTTGAGGAGACAGAGGCTGTAGCTCAGAGAACCTGAGGAAGCTGCAAATTCGGAGGCAGAGTTCCAGAGAAAAAGGAGCCACGCAGGAAAAGAATCCCAATAATCTGCATACAGGTCCCCCTGAGTCTTGTCTGAATACCCCACTGCACGTGTATCAGGTGAAGCTCCATAAAGTTTGGCAAAGAATGATGATGGAAATCTAAACTTAACAATTCCCAGTGCTTACATGGGGCAGAGGAAATTTCAAGTACCAATCAGCTAGAGTGGGGAGGGTTCACTGATCACTAGGGCGTTTTTTTAGTACGGACTCCATAAAAGTAACTTTTTACTAATGGCAATCAGTTTATCCTTTAGGTAAAGGCTATTCTAGACCTTCCCTTAAAAAGTGCAAACCAAACTTTGAAAGAATCGAGCTGATCTGGAAGTAATTTAACTATCCACCAGAGCAAAACCCAGTATTCTTCAAGGATGACAACAAAATCCAAACCTCAACAATATGAAATTCATTAGACATGCAAAGAGGCAAAAAAACATGACCCATAGTCAGGAGAAAAATCAATCAATATGAACAGACCTGGAAATGTAGAGAAGATGAAATTACCAGACAAAGACTTTAAAACAGTATTATGCTCTTTTACCAAAGATCTAAAGAAAAACATGAATTTAGTGAGAAAAAAAGAAAGACTTTCTTAAAAATAAAATGGAACCTCTACAGAAAAAAAATGTAATATCTGAAATGGAAAATTCACTGCATGGACTCGCAGCAAGCAGATAAGACATCAGAAGGGAAAATATTAGTGAATTTGGAAATATAACAATAAAAACAGCTTGCAAAAAAACACAAAAAGAAACTAAGCAGAGCCTCAATAACTGTGGAACAGTATCAAGTGGTTCTCACCTGACCCAGAAGAAGAGGAGAAAGGAAGAAGGAACAGAAAAAAATTTGAAGAAATAATTGCTGAAAAATCTCCAAATATGATGAAAGCTATACACCCACAGATCTAGAAGCTCAATACTAAGCAGAATAAACACAAAGAAAGCTATACAGGCCGGGCGCGGTGGCTCATGCCTGTAATCCTAGCTCTCTGGGAGGCCGAGGCGGGCGGATTGCTCAAGGTCAGGAGTTCAAAACCAGCCTGAGCAAGAGCGAGACCCCATCTCTACTATAAATAGAAAGAAATTAATTGGCCAACTGATATGTATATAAAAAAAATTAGCCGGGCATGGTGGTGCATGCCTGTAGTCCCAGCTACTCGGGAGGCTGAGGCAGGAGGATCGCTTGAGCCCAGGAGTGTGAGGTTGCTGTGAGCTAGGCTGACGCCACGGCACTCACTCTAGCCTGGACAACAAAGGGAGACTCTGTCTCAAAAAAAAAAAAAAAGAAAGCTATACAAAGGCTGAAAAACAGTGACTTAAAAAAAAAAAAAAAAAACCTTAAAAGCAACAAGAGAAAAAAGCCACATTACAAAGATAAGCCATGCCCTGCGGGGCCTTCTGGATCCAGGCTAACCATGAAAAACTCTTAACAATGTCACAGAACAACAACAGGCTTTTGGCCTCAGCAGTGAAGAAAGAGGCTCCATCTTGCCCTTCCCATGCATGAATATGGTTTAGCTTAAGCCCTGAAAACTCTGGGATAGTCTTTTGAAAACTCTGGACATTCCTTTGAGAAGGCCTGAGATAGAGTTCCCTGAGGAAAGCAGGAAAACCTGTTACTCCCTTCACTGCCTGTGGTTCCCACCGATCCCATGATCCTAGGCCTGCTGTTTTGGGGTTCTTTAGCATAAGGGAATAATGAATTGAAAAAAAAAATTTTTTAATCAAAAGCCTTCCAGGCGTTTCCTTTCCTGTTTGGGATGTAGAAATATAAAAGATTGTCTCACCACCCAAACAAGGAGAAAAAAATCTAGAAAAACTAAAAAATTAAAATTTTCCAACACTGATCAGAGACTTAAGGTCCCAAGGCAAGTAAGTAATCTGGATTCAAAAGAGGGACAAGTCCCTTTGAGGAGAGATGGGACACACAAACTGACACAAGTGTGGAAGAGCATGGGAGGAAGTAGCAAGTAAGAAGACATCAACTAAAAATTTTGTTTTTGTTTTTTTGAGACAGAGTCTCACTCTGTTGCCCAGGCCTCAGCCTCCCGAGTATCTGGGACTACAGGAATGTGCACCATGCCCGGCTAATTTTTTTCTATATTTTTAGTTGTCCAGCTAATTTGCTCAGGCTGGTCTCGAACTCCTGAGTTCAAACAATACACCCGCCTCTGCCTCCCAGAGTGCTAGGATTACAGGCGTGAGCCACTGTGCCCAGCCTAAATTTTAATGAATTTTAATGAATTTTTAAAGGCCAAGAGTGGGTTAGTATAAGAGTCTTGAATCGCTGAGGGTTCCACACATAAGAGTTTGCACTCATTCACAAGCTCTTTCCCATGGGCTTCTGCATAGGTACTCAGGAGGAAAGATTAGGGAAGGGGTCCTCAAACTTTTAAAACTGGGGGCCAGTTCACTGTCCCTCAGACCGTTGGAGGGCCCGACTATAGTTTTAAAAAAACTATAAACAAATTCCTATGCACACTGCACATATCTTAGTTTGAAGTAAAAAAAAACAAATGGGCAAAATCACCCGCATGTGGCCCCTGGGGCCATAGATTGAGGCCGCCTGGATTAGGGACAGGGA